TGGTTATCTCTTGGATTTAGAGTCACCAGTGTCGACCGGACCCTAAACGATCAAAACTTAAACTATATTACATTGCAAACCTTAGATGTTATCAAAGCAGTTGAATAGTGTGCGAAAATGTTCGGTATTGTACATTATGGTGTCGAAGTAAGGATATATTAAAAACAACGAAAATATACCGCATGGTATCCAAATATGGGTTTCTTTAATGAAGATTGAATCAGTAAGTTACATTATCACATGTTTGCTTGATAAAACAAATGTCTTCAAAATATTAAGATACGATGTTATACGTCGACATTAGATCTCTTTAGCACATGCAGTCAAACCTGTGTGAAAGACCACATCTGATTAAAGATGACCGTGTGTATAAAGGTTCCAATGAGAAGACTTTTCTTTAATAATTAAGAACAAAGTAACCTCCGGATAAAGAAAACTTGGCTATCTCCCTTGGTTGGCCTTTGTTGACAGGTTTGACTGTATGGAGTTTTGACCGCCGATTCCTCCGTTTGGAGCTAAATCTCAATAAATGTTTCAAAAAAGGTTTGTGTGAATATTTTGCATCGTTTTGCAGATAACTGTCTGATATAAGTCAGTTTTGTGACGTTTTGTTCAAACGTATTGCATGTTTTGGACACACCATAACTCACGCCCTAAAGTATATCTTCACGTAATGCGTGAAGATCTGATACAACTTTTAGTAAATATAGAGAAAAGTCATTTCGATTTTCTTCAGAAAAGTTTGTTGACACTCTTTTTTTCTTCTTTTTTTGGAAAAAGTTGAAGAAATAGAGGATATTGAATGAGTGTAAGTTTAATACTGAATTTGTTGAACGAGTTGAATAAAATTATATTATACGAGCCTCTGACGAGCATAATATTATTTTATTCAACAAGTTCAATTAAGTCAGTTATGAACTTACACGAATTTAATATTATATTTATCACATACCCAAAATAAAAAGACCGTTTGAAGTGAAAAAAGAACAATTTTTCATTGACGCCTCTATAGTATAACGCTAAAATTAAGCGTGCCGTCAAAATACATACACGGCCCTGAATGCCACTTTTACGGAGTCGCAAAAGCCGCACGGTTATGTGATAAAACTTACCCTGTGATTGACTTAAATGCTTAAATCAGTAGAGTATGGGGTTCCACGGTAATTAACAAATGTTTTTTTTATTGCTGCTCAATTTTGAGAGTCACAAAAGTTCACCTCCGCCCGCCCGTCTTAATCCATATTTTCTTCAATGTAAAATTAAGTGTTGATTTCTTCTTCCACAAAGTTTTTTATATCGTAAAATATATGCCCTGAAGAGTCCCAATATTCCTCGATTCTGAAAATGATGGCGGGTTCAGACTTAAAACACACAGTCTAATTAAGTATGTACTTACATTGTACATCTGACAACATTAACTTTTACTGGGCATATGTATTTTTTATTATTTCTAAATTATGCGTACGGTGTACATATGTAACCTTTATACACAGTAGTGTGTTCTGTAATAGGATGTGTGGTTAGTTCATATGTTATTACGAACTTCCTCAATCTCCAATCAATATATTTGAATGGCAGTTACGCACATGTTTCCACAACGTATTTATTTTGAGAATTTACCTAATTGATGTAGTATACACCGACGTCCGACGTCTACGGGTATACTTATAAAAACAACAAACGAACAAAACAAAAAGAAACACGTACTTGGGTGGGATGATGGATTGTATTAATCATAATTATATTCAATTGAAACAAATTAACTGTTTTGGTATAAATATGGGCAATGAAAACATAAAAATAATTGAATATCATACATCTTTGATAATAATTGTCATTTTGATTTTTAGCCCAACAAATTATATGCGCTTTAGGACGATGACCGACTGACATCTATGAAATATCAGATCATAGGCTAAAATCGGTCGGTCTTGCAGATTATTTGATTTTAAGATTAAGATATCATATTTAAAACTACGTACTGTAATTTGAGCCACGTCACGACAAAACCAACGTAATGGGTTTGCGACCAGCATGGATGCAGACCAGCCTGCGCATCCGCGCAGTCTGATCAGGATCCATGCTGTTTGCTACTTGAAATAGGGTTGGTTACGAGCGAACAGTATGGATCCTGATCAGACTGTGCGGATGCGCAGGCTGGTCTGCATCCATGCTGGTCGCAAACCCATTATGTTGGTTTTGTCATGGCGCGGCTCATTTCTGAAACCGTGTTATATAATAATTAGAATCTACCTACATGAATTTGTGAGTGTCTGTAATGATCACTTTGAAACCTGAATGAAATACCTGAATTTGTTTCTTTCTATTTCTTTATTAAGAAAAAATTTCTTTAAGTTTGAACCGTGTGACACGTGTGTTCCGGATCAATGGTCGTGATAATGTCCTGTACCATTTTGTGGTACTAGAAAAAAAAGAAAAGAAAAAAAAACGGATTGAAGAATTCCGTATATATTAAAGAAGGTTACTGTAAATATCATTATGACCCGTTGGTGTAAAAGCAAAGTGTCTGTTTTAAGATAAAAAATGTTGAAATATTGATCTTTTAAGTGTCATGTCGATTTCTTTCAACTATGATTATAATGTTTTTGATAGATGTTCTGGAATAATAGTGTGCAGATAGTTTTTAGCTCGATTTTTTTTTTTTGAAAAAAAAAAGTAGAGGTATTGTTATAGTCAGGTCGGCGTTGCCGTTGCCGTCCGAAAACTTGTACCTGGATCATAACTTTTTTATTTCTTGGTGTATTGTCTTCATACTTGGCCACAACAACCCTTGGGACAAGACCTTTCAGTAGACCACACTAACCTTGACCTTCATCCATAAATGACCTTGACCTTCAAGGTTAAAAGTCCAATTTTTGCTTGTTCATGCTGTTATTGGCTGTTACTTTGTCATTTTTGAATGGATTGTCTTCAAACTTGAACATAATAATCTTCAAGGATATCCCTTAAAAATAACCAGTCAGACCTTGACATTCACTCATCAATGACCTTGACTTTGAAGGTCAAATTATTGAAATTTTCATTTTTTTTGGCTATTATTGGCTGTAACTTTGTTATTTTTGAATGGATTGTCTTCAAACTTGAACATAATAATCTTCAAAGATAACTGTCAAAAATATTCCGAAAGACCTTGACCTTCACTCATTAATGACAATGCCTTTGAAGGTCAAATTATTGAAATTTTCATTGTTTTGGCAGTAACTGACTGTAACTTTGCTATTTTTGAAGGGATAAACTTCATATTATAACAGAACATTCTTAAGGACCAGACCTTGTTGTTTATCAAACCCAAATTTGCTTGGGCTCTTTAATGACCTTGACCTTGAAGGTTATATTACTGAATTTTCTCAGATTGTGCATTTATTGGTGTGTGTGTATGTATAGTATATGTATTATATATATATATATATATATATATATATATATATATATATATATACATATATGCAGGTATATATATATATAAATATATATTTGCATGTGAAACATATATATATATATATATACATATATATATATATATATATAAAATATATATATATATATATATACATATATATACATGTATATGTATACATGTATATATATCAATATATATATATATACATATATATACATGTATATATATAAATATATATATACATATATATATATATATATATATATATATATATATATATGCATATATATATTTTGAATATATATATATATACATATATATATATATATATATATATATATATATATATATGCATGTATATATATACACACACATACACACATATATATATATATATATATATTGCGTCATTTTTTCTATTTTTAGAAATTGCGTCATTTTTTTCTATTTTTAGAAATTGCGTCATGTTTTTCTATTTTTAGAAATTGCGTCATTTTTTGTTTCTATTTTTTTAGAAATTGCGTCATTTTTTTTCTATTTTTAGAAATTGCGACATTTTTTTTTATTTTTAGAAATTGCGTCATTTTTTTCCTATTTTTAAAAATTGCGTCATTTTTTCCCCCTATTTTTAGAAATTGCGTCATTTTTTCTATTTTTAGAAATTGCGTCATTTTTTCCTATTTTTAGAAATTGCATCATTGTTTCTATTTTTAGAAATTGCGTCATTGTTGCTATTTTAAGAAATTGCATCATTTTTTTCAATTTTTAGAAATTGCATCATTTTTTTTCCTATTTTTAGAAATTGCGTCATTTTTTCTATTTTTAGAAATTGCGTCATTTTTTTCTATTTTTAGAAATTGCGTCATTGTTGCTATTTTTAGAAATTGCGTCATTTTTTTATTTTTAGAAACTATGTCATTTCTTTCTATTTTTAGAAATTGCATCATTTTTTTTCTATTTTTAGAAATTGCGTCATTGTTGCTATTTTTAGAAATTGCATCAATTTTTCTATTTTTAGAAATTGCATCATTGTTGCTATTTTTAGAAATTGCGTCATTTTTTTATTTTTAGAAATTATGTCATTTCTTTCTATTTTTAGAAATTGCGACATTTTTTCTATTTTTAGAAATTGCGTCATGTTGCTTTTTTAAGAAATTGCGTACTGTTGCTATTTTTAGAAATATGCTTAATGTTTCTATTCATATATATATACAAAATATATAAACAAAACTAATGTGACAAGACAGACCAACTAAATTTATAAAAAGGAAACGTCAATATATGTTCAAACCTTTCTATGTTTGCGTTTAGAAAAAAGTAAAAAGTCGAGCGTTGCCCCCGCCCGGCGGTGGCTCTTGTTCTATCATCTTCTGGAGGTCAACTGTTTCAGAGACTTTGTTGATCTACAATAACTACAGCCTCACAAATTGAAATAATTTGAGCTGTGTCACGACAAAACCAACATAGCGAGTTTGTGACCAGCATGGATCCATGCTGGTCGTAAACCCATTATGTTGGTTTTGTCGTGACGCGGCTCATTTCTAATTTTATCAATTCACAATATGTAGGTGTTCAGTTGAAATAACAAAAAAAAATCATAAACTTCTTACATTTTCAAGTTCTATTCGTAAATCATTTATCAGAAATATTTATTAACATTTTTTCTCATAGTTTCTAGTCATATGTATTCCCCGTTGATATCTAGTAAAGTAAAAACCAAAATAAAGTAAAATAAAATGGAAATCTTAACATGATATTCCAGTCTAGACGAAATTTGTCCATATTTTAGTGTCTCCTATTGCCTTTAAGCGTGGCAACTGTTACATGTCATGTTATTTTCAAGTAGCACATATCATTATTTATACATAGGAAATCCTCCAATTAGTTCACTCGATCTTTTCCTTTGGCTTAGTTTCCGGCTTGGTAGCTGCCAATGGGGCGTAGGTGACATTAATTGTGGTGTAATCACTGCCAACAGGCGGAAGTGGGCTTTCTCTTCCTAGTGACGAATTTGGACTCGGGCTCCTTAGATACATCACAGGGGTTTCACAAGACGGAGGTAGTGGTGAAATGTTATTGTCATCCTCCATAGAGCCATCATTGACTGTCCCCTTTTGCATTGGATCCGGCGTACTGACTCTCACTGAGAATGATGACAGCGGTCTCTCCTCGAGCAAGGGAATCATACCAGTTGCAGTAGGCGGTCGAGAACCACTGAAACCTGCGGAAGAACCTTCACAGAACAGGTAGTGTTCAAGATTCTGTTCAGCATTACTATGCAGGGTACCCAGGGTAACCGACTGTTCAGCATTACTATGCAGGGTACCCAGGGTAACCGACTGCACGTCTGAAAAAGGGGAAAATATATTATCATTTAGATATTTAATAATATGATTTGCCTTCAACATGCTTTATCTCAAATTTTCATTTACGCTTAAGCTGCCTGGACAATTAAGTTGTAATTATTCTGTATGAAACTTAAGCGCTGTAATCAAATACAAGAGGGCCATGATGGCCCTTATATTGCTCACTTGAATATAAATATTCTTCATGATAAGAACCAAGTAATACTGCAAACTATAAACAAAAGCAGATATATAATCTAAATCTTAAACTGATATAACAAAGTTCATAATGAAATCTGAAATAGTGCACGGGTAAAAACAATAATGATTGCTATGGGCAAACAATAGTTCCTAAAGAAATCATTGGTAGATTCACTGCTTGCTATGGAAATTCAATGTTTATTAACTAGTTACTGGTTAAAAATTACAGGTAACTATGAAAAATCAATGGCTGCTATGAAGTCACTGGTTGCTATGAAAGTCAATGGTTTTTATGGAAAGCAAACGGCTGCTATGGAAAATCAATGTTTGCTATGGAAAGTCAATGTTTGCTATGACAAACACTAATTGCTATTTAAAGTCATTATTTACTATGGAAGCCAATGGTTGCTGCAGTGTTATCGGATGTCTGTGGTTGCTATGGAAAGTCAATCGTTACAATAGAGGTCAAGGTTGCCATGGACAGACAACAGTTGCTATGAAAAACCACTGGTTGCTATAGGAAGTCTCTGATTGTAATGGAAGTCTATGGTTGCTATGGATAGCCAATGGTTGCTATAAAAAGTCAATGGCTGCTATTGCAAGACTATGGTTGATATGGAAAGACACTGGTTGCTATGGAAAGTCCCTTATTACTATGGAAGGCATTGGTTGCAATGGACAGTCACTGTTTGCTATGGAAGGCATTATATGCTATGTCTTTAGAAAAAAAGTTGAGACAAATCTTAAGTGCTGAGAAAAAGTTAAGTGAAAGCCATCTTGAGATTTTTCTCAAGTGAGTAAGAACCTCAGTCACTGTTGAGACAATCATAGGTTGAGATTTGTCTCAGTTTGAGAAAGTTAGTGAAAGCCAAGCCTAGTTGCTTTTAAAGTCACTGGTTGCAAAACAAGTCTATTATAGATTTACTCGTTGCAATGGAAATTCATTTTTTGCTATAGAAGTTACTGGTTGCTATAGAGATTTACAGTTTGTTATGAAAAGTCAATGGCTGCTATGAAGTCAATGGTAGCTATGGCAGTCAATGATTGTTATGGAAAGCAAACAGTTGCTTTGGAAAGTCAATGGTTGCTATTTGAGACACTTTTATAATTGCTATTTAAAGTCACTGTTTGTTATGGAGGTCAATGGTTGCTGCACCTACAGTTGCTTTGAAAGTCTGTGGTTGCTATGGAGAATCAAATTGGTTGCAATATTGAATAGAAGTCAATGGAAAGACAATGGTGGCTATGGAAAGTCAATGATTAATATGGAAAGTCAATAGATGCTATAGGAAGTCACTGTTAGCAATGGAAGTCTATGGTTGCTATGGAAAGGCATTGGTTGCTATGGAAAGTCAATGGTTGCTATAATAAGACTATGGATGTTATGGAAAGACAGTGGTTACTATGAAATTATATGGTTGCTATCGAAAGTCAGTGGCAGTTATGGGAAGTCACTAATTGAAATGGAAGTCACTGGTTTCTACGGGCTGTTAGGGTTTGCTATCAATGGTTGCTATGGAAAGTCAATGCTCAGTGAAATGACAAAAGCCAAATAAAAACAGCATAACTAAAAAAATGTAAAAACCAACCACTATTCAGATGCAATCCATGTATAATAAATTGCGTGATGCTTCTAGACTTTAAATAGAAAACAAACAGGAAGAAATTTATGATGTTTGTAGTTTAAAAAATCAACCCAAATCACCATTTGATGAAAAAGATGACACAATTTTCTCTTCCATCATCATATTTCTACCCAATTACTAACAAGTTTTGAAACACTTTGGGTAATCTATTTTGACAGCTTGTACTTTGGACTTGAATGATCGAATGAGTTACTTAATATGTTGTTTTTTTTTCATGCAATATCTGTATGCCTGCTGTTTTTAACAAACATTTGGCATGCTGATACCTACCATGAGTTTGGGTTTTAGGTTTGACCTTACATCTCCAGATGAAAAGGAATAAGGCCACCCCCACGATAGGGAGCGGTACGACAACAACGGTAACTTTCACGTATAATTCCATTCCACCTTCATCCTCCTTGTCATCAGGCTGAAATTGGTCAATAAAACAATTATAAATTATCAGGATTATCTCTATGAATGCTGGCACAACTAGAAATGTGTTGTCATGCCGCCACAAATACCCACACATGCAGCCAAAATTTCAAATGTTATGATAAAATTTAGTTCCAAATTTGTTTGCAGGTATCATTTTTTTATTCTAAGTTCAAGGCCTTTAAACTATTCAATGTTAACACAAACAATTTTTGTACTAAGTTCAAGTCCCTGAAACTATTCAGTGTTAACCTTTTGCAAATTGCATATTGGATATTTGTAGCCGAGATAATAATTAACGTCGAAATTGAGATTTTTAAAATTTTTTCCAAGTTCAAAATCATTGTCATTGAACCATGACCAAATTCAAACTTTACCTGCTTAGTCCTATGATGTATCAATATGTCAAATTTGACTTAAAAATGTACAACTGTTGCGGGAGATAATGTATGGAAACTTAAAATTTCTCCTTTTTTTTTTCAATGTTCAAGAGGGATAACTGTTTCAAAAGACCAAATTCGTAATTGACCTGCTCATTGCTATGACATTTCCATATATTAATTTGTGTTGTGTACAACTGTTGGGATAATAGTGAACTGAAACTGATTTTTTTCTCTCTTTTTTTCAAAGTTAAAAAACTTTAAAAAATTCATTTTTTTTCTAATGTTCACAAGAGAGAGAACTATGTCCAAAATCATCGAACCATGACCAAATTTAAACTTGACCTGTGCATTTATTTGCCATATCCATATACTTAATTTGAGTGAAAAGTACAACTGTTGGGGAGGTAATGGACAGAAACTGAAATTTTTTTTATATATTTTTTTTTCAAAATTAGATTGGCAAAACTCTGTCAAAAATCATCAAACCATGACCATATTCAAATGACCTGTGCTCATTGCTATTACATATCCATATAGTAATTTGAGTTGTGTACAACTGATGGGATAATAGTGAACTGAAACTGAATTTTTATTTTTTTTAAATTTAAAAACTTTAAAAAAATCATTTTTTTTTCTAATGTTCAAAAGACAGAGAACTTTGTCCAAAATCATCAAACCATGACCAAATTTGAACTTGACCTGTGCATTAATTACTTATTTTCAGTTAAAAGTGTACTACTGTTGGGGAGGTAATGGACAGAAACTGAATTTTTTGTTTTTTTTTCAAAATTCAATTGGCAAATCTCTGTCAAAAATCATCAAACCATGACCAAATTCAAATGACCTGTGCATTCCTTTGGTGTATCCATATGTCAAATTTGAGTTGGATGTGTACAACTGTTGCCAGTTGGGGAGATAATGAATGGAAACATTTCTTCTTTCTTTTTTTTAAAGTTAGAGGGTCATCACTCATAAGGGTAACAAATCATTGAACCATGAACAAATTTGAACTTTGAAATTTCTCTAACGCATCCATATGCTAATCTTTGTTGACTTTGTACAACTGCTGCAATTAACGTAAACTGAAAACTGAAAAAGGGGCATAACTCTGTAAAAATCATCAGACCATGACCAAATTTGAACCTGACCTACATTTTTCTATGGTATAACCATATGTCAAATTACAGTTGAATGTGTGCAACTGTTGCCAAGATAATGAAGGAAAAATGCTATAATGAACGAAAACCGCTGATGATGCAAAGACCAAACAGGATAACACTATGCCCCAGCAATTTTATAGCAGGGGGGATAAAATTGTTTCTTCAATGCACATAGAATACAGTAAAGGGAGCTAACATACACACATTCAATACTTAAATCACATACACGCTTTATATATATTTACCCAAGACATATGTAGAACAATTCATCTGAGCAAGTCAACGTTTCAACCATAACTCTGGATAATTATAGGATGAGACCCAGGTTGTAAAATATGATAAACTAGAAATGTGTCATCATGCCACAGATGCCCCCGCATGCAGCCAAAATTTCAGATGGTGCATTAATTATTTTTTTCATTTTAAGTTCAAAGCCCTTAAAACTTCAATGTTAACACAAACCATTTTCATACAATGTTCAAGGCACTGAAATTATTCAGTCTTAACCTTTTAAAATGGCATATTGCATATTTGTAGCCAAAATAATGGCTAAAAGTATGAGTGCTGAAACTGAAAGTTCAAAACTTTTTCAACATTCAAGAAAGATAAGTTTGTCTAAAATCATTGAACCATGACCAAATTCAAACTTAAACTGCTTATTCCTAAGATGTATCTATATTATTTCAAAGTGAAAGGGACATAACTCTGCCAAAAAATCATCAACCATGACCAAATTTCAACTTGACCTGCCCATTCCTTTGACATATCCATATGTCAAATTTAAGTTGAATATGTAACACTGTTGGGTAGATAATGAACAGAAACTGTAAATTTCATATTATTTTCAAAGTGAAAGGGGCCTTACTCTGCCAAAAAACATTGAACCATGACCAAATTCGAACTTGGCCTGGGCATTCCAAAAACATATCCATATGTCAAATTTGAGTTGAATATGTTGTACTATTGGGGAGATAATAAACGTAAACTGAAAATTTCATATTACTTTCAAAGTGAAAGCCAAAAATCATTGAACCATGACCAAATTTGAACTTGACCTGCGCATTCATTTGACGCATCCATATGTCAAGTTTGAGTGGAATGTATTGTACATTTGGGGAGATAATGAACGGAAACTGAAAATTTCATATCATTTTCAAAGTAAAAGGGGCATAACTCTGCCAAAAAATCATCGAACCATGACCAAATTCAAACTTGACCTGTATTTCCTCATGACATATCCATATGTCAAATTTGAGTTGAATGAATGCAACCGTTCTTAAGATAATGAACGGAAACTGATGATGACGGAATGACAGAATGACGGATTAGGAAGGAAGGACGGAATGACGGCACAGGGTAACACTATATGCCCGGCCATTACATGGCGGCAGCATAATAAAATTTAAAATGTGACAAATTAAAATCACTTACGAATTTGCCACAGAAAAATTCAAATTCATATGTCTCATTTTTGACGGTCATGTAGGGGGACAGTTTAAGTGAGTAATTGTAGAATTCATATGACATTTCATTGTAAATGATCTCACAAAGACTGTAGACTGTAGAATTTAAGTCGGCTGATAATCCGGACATCGTAAAATTCACCACAATACTGCCTGAAAACAAAACAAAAGTTACGTCATAAGTTAGATATAATTAATATTATTCATTTTAGATTGTCAAACCATATGAGCCGCGTCACGACAAAACCAACATAATGGGTTTGCGACCAGCATGGATCCAGACCAGCCTGCACAGTCTGATCAGGATCCATGCTGTTCGCTATCAGTTTCTCTACTTGTTATAGGGTTTGTTAGCAAACAGCATGGATCCTGATCAGACTGGGAAGATGCGCAGGCTGGTCTGGAACAATGCTGGTCGCAAACCCATTATGTTGGTTTTGTCCTGACGTGGCTCATATATATTGAAGTACTTATTAGACTATACTTTGAGGTACTATGTACTTAGATCAGAACTCAACATCATTTATATGTCACATTAAAACTAAATTCTTGACATTTCCTGTTAGAACTTAAATTAATAGCGACTTGAAGTAGAAGTAGTTTTATAAGTTTATTATTACAGCATAATAAGAAAGTTGGAGTTAAGTTACAAGTTATTATACTAGAATGTGAAAATTATACATTCATTTTTTTGGGGGGGGGGGACATTAATGGTTCAGGTAACTATAAAATTGCACTTAAATATTGCAGACCTTCATATATAGATGCGTTAGAAAATAGTACGTCTGGCAACATATTTGCATAATTTGTCAGAATCATCTGCTCAAACGCATCATGCTTGTCCACATCTGGTAGCACTTCATTAAAATCTACATTGAACTTCACCTGAATAATACAATAGGAAAAGAAAAATTAAATTCAATGAAAACAAAATTAAAAACTTAAAAGCTACATAAATGGTAAGTAAATGGAGATCATCTTAACACTGGTTTTTACCAACTTTCATGTAAAAGTGATATCAAAAGGTTGTTGAGAAAAGAAATAACATGAACATCACTTTTAAAAGAATTTTAGTACCTTTTTAAAGTAAATGTTAATTGTTAATTACCATCACTTTGTATGTTTCTTCAACAATCATGTCAATATGTTTTGGGTGCTTTATAATTATTTTGTGATTCATGGTCATGTTGAAGTCAGGGGGATCAGACACAACCCTGAATTGCAAACAAAATGTCCCAAAGCCGGTAAACAAAAGGTCCGGAAACATCACACGTCCTGTATTTGGGTCAAATGATATGGTGGTTGTGCCACCTAAAGTTGAGTAATTGGAAGGTGATATCATTGACACACTGGCTGTCCAGGTATGATTCTGTAATAAAGTTAATATAGATGTATAATGGTATAAGACACAACATCTTATAACACTTAAAATATGCAAGGAGAATATTAGTTTACACAAACTAACTTAATGAATTGAGAAAGATTTCATATTCTTGTTTATGTACATATATTTATTACATTTGTGACCATTAGAGGATGATTGACATCATCTGTGACGTCATTTACGTTGGTGCGATACAACTTGGAACGTCAGTTTTTAATTGCGTATTTGTTGTTTTGTCAATTGACAGTTAATCATTTATCTAAATTAATATTTAATTTCCTCAATATTTCGGGCCATATTCCAACCAAAACGTACCTACCCCTAATTTACGAGATTCTGCAGTTATTTACTAAATATAATATGTGTTTAAACTTCAATCTGAGAATTAAAGTCTAATAAACAAAATAACCTACCCTCCAGCTGATATCAGTGATGGTCTCAGAAGTTTCAGAGTCATGTAGATCAAGGATTATGGAAAACTGGCTATCTGTAGTAATATCACCACTTGTTGCCTCATAGAGGTTAATCTCCAAACCTCGTCCACCAATGTTAAATGGTTCCGTTGCTAGGACAAAGTTCTCAGACTGAGGTGGATATGTGATGTTGAAGTCGAGTATATAACCAATCCCTGTGTGAGAGAAAGCAAGGTCAGAGAAGTTGAACCAGCCATCGGAGCAAGTTACTTCAAGGATGCCCGAGAGAATGTTAGACGGATGTCCAGTGCCCTGACGAACACTTACCATCATTTGCCATGGATATTCAGCTATTCCAAGTTCTGTCACTACATTGTTCTGCAAAGAATATATAAATTCTTTATTTTATGGCTCAGCTGCTTCAAGCATTGACAATAAAAGTAAAAAACTCAAACATTCTCCATCAAATGAAATATTTACAGAATTAACTTGCGAAAACAAAAACAAAAATACGCAAAGTATGCTAGACTACAGTCATTTCAATCAGTTCAATTTGAGTACATACTAAATCATATAAACATTCAATGAACTCAAACAATGATAACATTAATTTAAATGAGATTAATACTCACGGAAATATCAGCTACTCGTACTTTCGGTTGCGTAATAAGGAGAATTCCTTCATAGTCGGCCACAGGCTTAGTATGGAAGAAAAGATGGTGGGGAGTAGGTAAGACGTATTTTATTGAAGCCACATCTAGATCAGTTGATGGATATTCGACCGTCTTGCATTTTCCAGTGATGTTTAATGTCTGCGATACATTTCCAGCTTGACATTCATTGACAATATTAACAGCTAGTTTAAGCAACGACGAGTGATCAATGTGGTCTGCTACGGTTGAATGTAAATCTGTAATGATATAGTAATAATGCGTACTGATTAAAGAATACACCTCTTGTACATGCTGTATTATATGTGTATCGACCAAAGACTGAGCAATATTATTTTTAGACTAGAACTACGAGAGCCGGATGTGTCCCATTGTGAACAGTATAGCTGTCACTTAAGCATTTGCTTCTCAAATATAGGTTATTTATAAACACCACTATTACAATGTACATGTACCTTGAACTCTTGTAGAATTTGAACTAATTGTTACAATAATACAGGATTGATGTATTTTTTAATGTTTAGGAGAATTGGCCCCCGACAAAAATAATGTATCATAATTAAAAAGGGCAATAACTCTAAAATCATGAAGTACAGAGAACCGGTTTTTATGCACTGCACTTTATCTAAATGAGATTTATCATCCTATGAAGTTTCATGTCCATGTCCATATCTTTTATATTTCTGTAAGGAAAAATGGCCCGGACAAGAATGAAAAATAAAAAACAAAGGGCAATAACTTAGAAATAAGAAGTGCAGAGTACCAGTTTTTGTGCACTGCACTTTTTCTTAAAAAGATATATCATCCAGTGAACTTTCAAGTCCATTGCTCATATAGTTTAGGAGAAAATTGGCCTAGACAAAAATAAAGTATGAAAATTAACAAAGGGCAATAACTCAAAAATTAAGAAGCACAGAGTAATGATTCTTGTGCACTGCGCTTTTGGTCATTGAAAGAAGCATGCATACCAAGTTTGAAACATTCTGACTTACAAAGATATGTTCTGGACAAGCCTAAGGGGACGCCGCCGACAACGAAGCCAACAAAAGTACAACTTACATGTTGCCTTTTTCAAGGCGACACAAAAAAGAATATACCAATAACAAACAATAATGTTAAGGATCTACATTTGTTATAACTCAAAATGAACTTCAATGAAACAAATTAAGAAAACTCTCAACTATCTTTCCCGACATGAAAGTTTATATAAGATGATAACTTAAGATTCCTTTAATGAATTACTTTACTAATTTTTGCCAAAACAATACATTTTCAACTTTTTTTTTTCATTAAATATAACATCAATTGATTATAGACAAGGCAGTCTGAAGGACAGCTAAATCCCCTTCCGCATTGAACAAAAATGTGTACTTTTTGACCTTTTACCAGCCAAGACCTTGATGTTATGCCATGCATATCATAAGCACATAGTCTCATGATGGTGATTATTTGTGCCATGTTATTTAAAATCTTCCATAAAGTAAAAAGTTATGGATTACATATAAACTTGACCTTGGGGGAAGCAACCTGGATGTTGAACTCTGCAGATTGTGTCACGGTGGTGATCATTTGTGCCAAGTAATTTTAAAACCTTTGAATTGTCAATAAGTTATAGAGTGGAAATGAAAAATAGATGTTTTTTTACATTGGACCTTTGAGTGTGACCCTGAACTTCAGGGTTGTGACTTGATTATTACGCTCTGCCAATGGTGTCATAATGGTGATCATTTCTGCTAAGTTATCTTAAAAACATTGCAGCCGTTTAAATGTTTTGGACAGACTTTCTAACTTTTTACCTGTAAGTGTGAACTTGACCTTGGGTGTAGCAATTCAATTATTGCACTCTGCTCATTGTCTCATAATGCTGATCACTAAATGTTCCAAGTTATTCAAAAAAAACTTTTCAGCGGTTTAAAAGATTTTGAGCAGACACGAATTGTATACACTAGACCTGTAAGTGTGACCTTGACTTTGAGGATAGCAACCCAATTATTACGCTCTGCACACTGTCTCATAATGGTTATCACTTGTGCTAAGCTATTTAAAAAACAAGGGTGCCATAGTCACAAAATACGCCCGTTTACGAAAGCTTTAGATGGAGATGGGGGCATTATGGATAAGTGTTATCTAGCAAGCAAGTTTTTATTCTTGGCACTGTGTTGTTAAATGAACCTTAAAACATATCAGTAGGGAAGATATGCACAGGATGTGTGACCTTGACCTTGGTCACAGGGACCTGAATTTTATGCACGGCACTCAGTCTCACAATGATGAACATTTGTGCCGCACGGCACTCAGTCTCACAATGATGAACATTTGTGCCAAATTATATTGAAATCCCTCTATGCATGTAGAAGTTTTGCTCCAGACAAGTGTTTTTCTATGAGCTCTAACTGTGACCTTCACCTTTGACCTAGAGACTTGGTTCATGTGCAGGCACTACGTCTCATGGTGGTGAACAATTCTATAAAGTAACATAAAAATTCCTCCATGCCATTAGAAAATATGCTCCGGACAATTTCTTGATATTTAATCATCTCCAGTGACCTTGACCTTGCAAATATTAACCTAAATTAAATGTGTCACACCTGTAGTCATGATAGCTACCATTTGTGCTACAATCCATCAATAAATGATGACTAAATGGTCCCTATACACATCTTCAAATTTTTATCTGAACTTTGACCTCTGTGTAACCTTGACTTTGGTCGCAGGGATCTGAATTTTGCGTGTGACACTCAGTCTCACAATGGTGAACATTTGTGCCAAGTTATATTGAAATCCCCCTATGAATGTAGAAGTTTTGCTCCGGGCAAGAGTTTTTCAATGAGCTCTAAGTGTGACCTTGACCTTTGACCACGAGACCTGGATCATGCACGGAGCAATACATATCATGGTGGTGAACATTTCCATTAAGTATTATAAAAATTCTTCTATACATGTAGGAGATATGCTCCAGACAAAATCTGGATATTTCACCATCTTTAGTGACCTTGACCTTGCATATTGACCTAAAGTACATGTGTCACAGCCGTAGTCATGATAATGACCATTTGTGTTACAATCCCTCAATAAATGATGATTAAATCGTCCCTATACACATTTTCATATTTTTATCTAAGATTTGACATCTATGTGTGAGCTTGACCTCGGCCGCAAGGACCTGAATCTTGCGCGCGACACTCCGCCTCACAATGGTGAACATTTCTGCCAATCAATATTGAAATCCCTCTATACATGTGGAAGTTTTGCTCCGGACAAGCATTTTTCAATGAGCTCTAAGTGTGACCTTGACCTTTGACCTAGAGACCTGGTTCATGTGTGCGACACTACTCCTCATAGTGGTGAACATTTCTATGAAGTTTCATTAAAATCCCTCCATACATGTAGGAGATATGCTCTGGACAAAATTGGAAGCCGCCCGCCAGCCAGGGGCGTTCCCATAATACGTCCTGTTTTTCAAACGGACGTATAAAAACCAGAGGTTTTAAAAAGTTATGGAGGGGACACGAAATGTACCATTTTCTAACATTTGACCTTTAAGTGACCCAATTATTGCGCTCTACACATCTTCTCATTAGAGTGATCACTTGTGCCAAGTTATTTTAAAAGAAAATTAAGCAGTTTAAAAGTTATGGAGGGGACATGTAACGTAGACTTTTTATTATGAAATAAAAAAATTAACATTTGATCTATGAGTGTGACCTTGACCTTGGGGTTAGCAAACCAATTATTATGAACTATACATCGCCTTATTATGGTGATCACTTATGCCAAGTTATTTTTAAAAAATTTCAGCAGTTTAAAAGTTATAGAGTGACAGAAAAGTGTTATGGATGGACTGATAGAAGGACAGAGGGATGGACTGACAGATGGAGGCCATTCCTATAATCCCCTTTCCACTACGCAGAAGGGGATTTAAAATCAAGAAGGTCATGTTGTATATAAAATTACATAGAGAGGTAAACATTTCAGTTGAAAACACTTCAAATTCTGAAGTATTTGTATAGCTCATACCTGAAGCAGGTTCATCTCCTATTTCAACTTCGACAGTAGTTCCACCACTACCATCACTGACAAAGTTCAAAATAATGACTTTCGTGGGTGGAATATTCAAGAGAGCCGCCAAATTTTCAACCAAATTATCGCCATTGAAATCATCAACTGTTAATGTAGGCAGACTAATTGACATGATGATAGTGTCAGGAGATATGATGTCAATCTGTTCCGGGCCCATTATTATAAATTTGATCTTCTTGCGATGTTTATCAAAATAGTTTGTTCCTGTTCCGTCGGCAATCTGAGGATCATATTCATTGCCTAAAAGATCAAGTACATCAAGTTAATTTTTGAAAATTAAACAAATTTAACAAGCTTTGAACTTTGTCCCCAACGAGATGATTGTGTTATCTCCAAGTCTTTCTATGGTAAGATAACTCTACATAACCTCAGTGACTTATCTTAGGTTTCAAAGTTGTTTTTTGTTCTTTCTTAAAACCAATGAGGATTTGAAAACTGTATTGATACAAAACAGTGTTTGTTTCCCCTTTAATTATATAGGAAACAACAAAATGTTTGCTAAACACATATACCCTCAGTGCAGATACTAATTGTAAAAAGTTTTTCCCATTCACTCAATAATGGACAGAATTTTTTTTTAAGGTAAGCACTGTCATGTACGATGTTTTGTTTGGACAATCATGATTTTTTTATTTAGTCTGTACCTGAAAACACGATGGTACGATGGTGGAATCGCGATAGCATGATGGTGAAAACGCCATGTTACATCGCGTTTTCACCATCGTACCATCGCCATTTAACCATGGTACCGTTGCATTTTCATGACATCATGTTTTCACAATCATGCCTACACATTTTCACCATCTTACTCTCTCGTTTTCACCATCATACCATATCAGTTTCAAACATTGTGCCATCATGTTTTCATTATCTCACTATCACGTTTTCACCATCATACCATTGCCTTTTCACCATCATACTATCGCGTTTTCACCATTGTGCCATCTCCTTTTCACATCGTACCATCGCGTTTTCACCACTGTGCCATGTCTTCCGATAGTTATGGGCATTAATAGAATTTTATCAACAATATTATGCTGTCTCATTTTTTAACTTTCTATTTAAGAGCTAAGCATTTAAAACATAAGGCAATCACTAAAGAATTAAACAAGAGGGCCATGATGCCCCTGAGTCCCTCACCAGAAACAACTGCTTTTCAGTGTTTATAATATTATTTATTCTAATATAAAATTTTAGCATAGAAAATGTTTTAACAATAATTTGAAGAAATGCCATGACCTGGGGCATTTAAGTTTTAGCTTAAACAGGGCTAATCAAATTAATATGAACGAACTTGATAAAAGACTACCTAAGAATGCTACAAAGTTTGGTGATCATCTATCAATTATTTCAGTAGGAAATGATGTTTGAAGGTTTTTTTTCTATTTTTAGCTTTAAGTGGCCCCTAAAAGGGGCTAATCAAATTAATATAAGCAAATTTGATAAAAGAGAACCCAAAAATGCTACAGACAAAGTTTGGTGATCATCCATCAATTAGTTCAGTAGGAGAAGATGTTTAAAGGTTTTTCTATTTTTAATTTTAGAGGCCCCTAAAAGGGGCTAATCAAATTAATATGAGAAAACTTGATAAAAGACTGCCTAATAATGGTAACAGACAAAGTTTGGTGATCATCCCTCCATTAGTTCTGTAGAAATAGACATTCAAAGGTATTTCTATTTTTAGCTTAAGCAATCAAATTCATATGAGCAAACTTGATAGAATGCTACAAAGTTTGGTGATCATCCATCAATAAGTTCTTTGAAAGAAGATAATTAAAGGTTTTTCGATTTTTAGCTATAGAGACCCCTAAAAGGGGCTAATCAAATTAATATGAGCAAACTTGATAAAACACTACCTAAGAATGCTACCGACAAATTTTGGTGATCATCCATCAATTAGTTCTGTAGGAGAAGATGTTTAAAGGTTTTTCTATTTTTAGTCCTAGAGACCCCTAAAAGGGGCCAATCACAATAATATTAGCAAACTTGATAAAAGACTAACCAAGAATGCTACAGACAAAGTTTGGTGATCATCCATCAATTAGTTCTGTAGAAATAGACATTTAACGGTATTTCTATTTTTAGCTTTAGCGGTTCCTAAAAGGGGCCAATCAAATTAATATAAGCAAACTTGATAAAATACTAACCTAAGAATGCTACAAATAAAGTTTGGAGATCATCTATCGATTAGTTCTGTAGGCGAAGATGTTTAAAGGTTTTCCTATTTTTAGCACTAGAGACCCTTAAACGGGGCCAATCAAAATAATATAAGCAAACTTGATAAAAGACTACCCAAGAATGCTACATACAAAGTTTGGTGATCATCAATCAATTCTCTAGAAATAGACATTTAACGGTATTTCTATTTTTAGCTTTAGTGGCCCCTAAAAGAGGCCAATTAAATTAATATAAGCAAACTTGATAAAACACTACCTAAGAATGCTACAAACAAAGTTTGGTGATCATCCATCAATTAGTTCTGTAGGAGAAGATGTTAAAAGGTTTTTCTATTTTTAGCCCTAGAGACCCCTAAAAGGGGCCAATCAAAATAATATTAGCAAACTTTATAAAAGACTGCCAAAGTTTGGTGATCATCCATCAATTAACTTTTGTAGAAATAGAGGTTTAAAGGTTTTTCTATTTTAAGCTTTAGTGGCCCCAGTAAAAGGGGCCAATCACATTCATTTGAGCAAACTTGAAAAACACTACCCAAAGATACTACAGACAAAGTTTGGTGATCATCCATCGATTAGTTCTGTATTAGAAGATATTAAAAGGTTTTTCTATTTTTAGCTCTGCTGACCCCTAAAAGGGGCCAATTGCAATGACATGAGCAAATTCAAGGGTGACTGTCACAAGGAGGCTACAGACCAAATTTGAAGTAAATCTGCTTAGAAGTTTCAGAGAAGAAGATGATAATTGACGCATGACGACGGACACCGACGCATCCCCCTTTGATACTAGTAAAAATATTTAAAATTAAAAATATTTAAGTTGTCACCCTTGTGAGCTGTACAAATGAAGTTTCAAGTTGATATCTTATATACAGCAAGAAAAAACATGCAAACATTTATCAAGCATATATTAGATACATGTAGTCCTTGATCTATATACAGTATAAAGAAATAGAAAATTTAATATAAAGATAACAGGTTTTATCATTTATAACTCAAAATAATTAATAAATATTCTAAACTTGTTTTACTTTTTGCCTAATTAGAATCTGACATCTGTATGTGTACTGGTCATACTGACCGAAAGTCAATGGCAGGATGGTGAAAACGCAACGGTACGATGGGGAAAATGCAATGGCATGATGGTGAAAACTCGATGGTACCATGGTGAAAACGCGATGGTACATTATGGTTAAAGCGCAATGGTACCATGGTGAAAATGCCATGGTACGATGATGACAGCACAATGGTATGATGGTGAAATCATAATGGAACGATGGTGAAAACGCCATGGTTCGATGGTAAAAGCCTGATGGCAAGATGATGAAATCGTCATGGGAGGATGGCGAAAACACAATGGTGAAACTGCGCTGGAAGGATGGTTTAACATCACGTATTCACCATCGTACCATAGCGTTTTCACCATCGTGCCATTGTGTTTTCACCATTGTACCAGTGTGTTTTCATCATTGTGTCACGAACCAATTGCAGTTTCACCATCTTACCATCGTGCATTGCGGGTAAGGACAAGATAAATCAAAGCACTGAAAGAACTGAAGTATACATTGCTTGATAATATAATCCATTTTTGTCATCAAAGCCATGTTGATTTTAACCTACTGACCTTGAAAACAATAGGGGTCATCTTCTGACAAAGGTCAGGTCCCAAACAAGTGACTCACATGCACCAAGGCTTTTTTTTCCCAAAGATATTTATGGGTCAAGGAAGATGTGATGTTCCATCTGTGTATTGCTAGGCAAGCTGATAGATAAGCAATAAAGAAATCATTTTTTGAAACACCCGTTAAATGGACTGCGGTATAGAATATTGAAACAGTCATATTGAGTATCCAGTGATGCTATCTAATAAAATACATGATCTGGCTTGAACGCTATACAAAGTCAATTAATTGAATCATCCTACAAGACTTAATTACCAAATTATAGTACATCTATGTACTGTACTTTGATGCATTAATACATATAATCAGGTGTGTTGTATTAATCTCTACACATTTATTTTCAAATGCATTACTTTATCGTTTATTAATAAAAATGAAATCTATAATCAAAACAATTCAAATGTACTGTAATTTTTTCATTATTCAATAATTATTACATATAGTCTTCATATACAACCTTTCCAAGAAATTCATTTATATTTGACAGCAAGTTAACGAGGGTTTTTCCATAATGCAGGCTGTGTTACCAACTTTTTAACTTTAGATAAACCATTGAGCTAAAACATTTTTCTATTTTTTGGCTACTGTGACCTGCTTCTGATTTTCAACCAAGGTGGTCCATGTTCAAACTCGAGCAAAACCTGTCACACACATTCTTACGATGTTGTGTGACAATTGGGGCAAAAGTGTGACTAGTAAAGTGTTAACAAACTAAATGACCAGCAGATTGTTAACAACTGTAATGTCATCGTTGGATACACATGGTTGATTAACATTTAACATGACATAACTGATAAATGTAAATTGTTCGGTCGTGGGTATCCGACAATGCTAAATGTGGACAGACCAGAGTTGACATAAGATGGATGGCCGACATTCAACAATCTAAAACCTCACCCTGAGCCAACCTATAAGTTTCACCACTGACTTTTTCATACTGTACTTATTACAAAAAATAACTGACATTTTACAAAGGTAATGAATTTTTTGTAATAGTTATTCATTTAAACTGTTGAAAAATGTATTTAGCAGCAGTTTTTTAAATATATCTATTTTATCGCAAGTAAAAATTAATGTGTTGTTTGTTGTTTTTTTTTTGCTTTTATATGTTTTTGATGCTAGGCATTAAGATAGCCAAAAAACACTTTCATACAATGTTTATTACAAAAGCATTACTGATATTTTCATTGCTTACAAATATAATGTTATAATCATTCATATAGACGGTTGAAAAATTTATCTAATACATGTTACTGTGAGTTCTTATTTTAAAAATGTCCATTTCATCGCCAGTAAAATGTGTTTTTTTTTTTTGCTTTTCCATGTTTTTGACGATAGACCGTTACGTAGCCGAAAAACACTTTCATGCTGTATTTATAAAAACAACATCACTGACATTTTACATTGGTAACAAAAAAAAGTAATAGTTATTCATTTAAAATGTTGAAAAAAAAAATAGCGGCTCATGTTTTAACTACGACTATTTTAATGCCCGTAAAAATGTGTTTTTCGGCTTTTCCATGTTTTTTTGACGCTAGACTGTTATTTTGCCGAAAAACACTTTCATATCGCATGAAATACAGAATAGAATCATTCTCTAATTTACACTGGTTGCAAAAAGAAAGTAAATTTTAATAATTTAAAAGATAGAAAAAAGTTAGATAAAACTAATTTTGTTGGAACTATACCAATTGTATATATCATCGATTTAAAACTGATATTATTGAACCCAATATTTCATCAAATAACCATCAAAAACCCATTTCATCAAATAACCATCAAAAATTGTTTATATTGCTGAATTTAATCACAGCCTTATTTGACTTCTTTGTATTTTAAGTGTTTTTTGGTGTTTTTCAGCAATTCAATGCACCCATTAATTTAAGCAGATAAAAATAATTCCTATTTTATACAGTTAGTTTCAAATGATTATTTCTTATCGTCGAATCTGGCCACATATGCCTATATTTAGCTCCATGCTCTGGCTTAATTGTCAATATCCCAAGTTCGACGAATTGTTTTGGGTCGAATGGTCGAGCGGCCATATCTTTATTTTTACCCGTACTGAATCAGGCAATCTTCACTGAATTTTGATACATATTTCTTTATAAAAATCTAAGACATACAAAAGTGAAAGGAAAATCATGTTTAAAAAAGGCATTCAAAAGAATAGCTTACAAAATTTCTATTTTTCGAAGCCAGGTTTTTAAAAAAAAAAAAAAAAAAAAAACATTTTCAGGTATACGCTGGTAAATTTTGTAACGGAGCTCCATACTAATTTTGTAAAACATTTTAGGGCAATTTTATTACATAAATGTAAATCAGGAATTTTATTTGATTAAATATCTATCTTAGATGTTTCATCCCATTTATATAATTCTGACGACTTTACTATATTTACGATGTATTCATTCATGCTTGCAAGCGCATGTGTATATGCGAAGTTTAACGCGTATGTATAAACTACGATTTTATCAATGAACTATTATTTTTTGTTTTCTTTAAAGGAATGTTGAGTCTATTATTTCATGAAAATAAACGATTTGGAACATTCAAAGCATTTAAACAACTTTGCAAACACTATTTTAATGATGTGTAGTAGGAATGTAACGCTTCTGCAGAATGAAGAACTAGTTTCTATAGCGGTTTTTATCCGGGAGTGGATGTTGTTCGGCCTGTAACGATTTCTGAGATATAGCTTATAGCTCTGTATACATTGCAAGCAATGTATACAAAAATCACTATTGTCCAAACAAAACATCCTAGTCATGACATTTTGTTACTGTGAAAAATATAAGTTGGCATGTAATTGCTATTTTATTAAGCTGAAAAAAATTCCACTTTAGAAATAACTAGAAATGTGTATATATGACATATATGCCCCGACACTCCACTGCCTATTGACAAACAGCAAGACAAAATGACAAGAGGGATAAATAAAAGAAATTGTACATAACTAACCCTACCCCTTCGTGATTGTGGCATAAAAACATTTTTGACATAATGATGTTTCCAAACCATAGATGAGATGCACAACTACACATTCTGACTATCAGTCCTGTAAACTTTCATGACTAAAGGCCAAATAATTTTTGAGCTACACATCTAACAATTTGAAAACAGCAAATGTATACTAAGTCAAAGGCAATAACAGTTACAAAATCGAATTAATCCAATTGCAAAACCCAAGGTGCACAGCTTCACATACTGATCAGCATTCCTGTAAAGTTTGTTGATTCTAGCTCAATCATTTTAAGAGATACACATGACACAACATTTTGAAACTTTTTTGTCCAGGGCACTTACATATTCTGATAAAATATACAAGTAATCCCCTGGGTGCACAACTTTAAAAGCTGATAAACATTTCTATAAAGTTTCATGATTCTACATCAAATCAAGACAAGTTGAAAATAGCAAGTTTTACTAAGTAAAGGGCAATTATTCTCTTACAAAACTGAAGTATTGCACATGCAACATGCTGACCAACACTTCTGAAAAGTTTCATGACACTAGGCCAAATACTATTGAGCTATGTGCAACACAATTTGAAAATTGCAAATGTTTACTAAGTCTACGGCAATAACTCTACAAATACTGAAAATAATCACATGCAAACACCCAGGTGCACAACTACACATGCTGAACAACATACCTGTGAAGTTTCATGATAATAGGTCGAACATTATTGGGCTATGTGCGACACAAATTGAAAATTGCAAATTTTTACTTGGCAATCTGTGACTCTTAAAATACTATACTACATTAATAGACAAGGTCAACCTCCAAGGTGTACTACAACACATGCTGACCAATTTCAGTAAAGTTTCATGACTCGAAATCTAATACTTTTTGAGCTATGTGTTGAAAATTGCTAATGTTACTAAGTCAAGAGCAACTGAATAAGTCTTAAACCCTAAGTGTACAACTTCAAAAGTTGATCAACATTGCTATAAAGTTTCATGACTCTGTATAAATCTATAAACTAAACCCAGGTGCACAACTTCACATGTTGACCAATATTCCTGTGAAGTTTCATGACTCTAGATTAAATCATTTTTGAGCTAGGCACGACACAAATCGGAAAATGCCAATTTTTACTAAATCAAGGGCAATAACTCAGACGAAACTGAATTATTCCACATGTGAAACCATAAGTGCAGAACTTCACATGCTGATCAACATTCATGTTTTTTCTTATTTTGACTCTAGATCAAGCACTTTAATATTAGAGATTCATGCAACACAACAGGAGAATGCACACATGAACGAACAAACAGACAAAGACAAAGGACGAAGACCATACAAGTTATCTTCCTATCAAATAAAACAAGAGCCGGTTGAACCAGGTGATACTCCCCAAAAAGGTTTTGGACACAGGAAAATATACCTCTTGTAGTGTTATGTCACAGACAAAGTTCGAAGTGTAAAAACAACCAATATGTTGTGCATGACACATTGTCTCAATATGGTGATCATTTCTGTGAAATAGTTGTAAAATCCAACTTCAAATATCGAAGTTATGGGCTGCACACGATTATGCTGCAATGTCATGATGTGACCTTGACCTTCAAGGTAGCAACCCAAATGCTGCATGCGACACATCGACACAAACTTGGGATGTACGTACATACGGACTGAAGGACAACTCGACGACTATATGCTTCCCTGAAATTTTTCGGGGAGCATAAAAAACATCTATAGTTGCATTAGCAAAAGTGTAAAAATATAGTTACAATGTGAAGTGATCATGTAGTGACACAGTGATCATTGATATTTACCTTGTGGCATAGAGGTGATGTATCTATTGTTGCTATCAATCCGCACATTAGTTGCAGTCTTGAACTGTCCATTCACAAACACATCCAATCTGTTTGGTCTTGAACACCATACAGTAAGTTTAATTCCCTCATTCGCATTTACGTTCAAAAGTCTGTATCGCATGTGTTTAGGTATTATGCTTGTAAAATGCATCAGATATTCGTGGTCTAAAATGAACAAGTGCATGCTTAAAATATCAATAACAGTAAATCTAGACATATCTTACCAGGTTTATCTCAAGGAGAGCTGAGCATAGGGTAAATATTATTTTGCTTTAAATGACGAACTGGCAAAGTTATCAAATATCACTTTTTTTGCATGAAATATATATTTCGTTATTTATTACATTTTAAAACTCTCTTTTTGACCTAAGAATTTACAAATACATGTTAGTCCAATATACCATTATTGACTATTCCATTGATAGCCCAATATACGATAATTGACTATTCCATTGATAGCCCAATATACGATAATTGACTATTCCATTGATAGCCCAATAATTGACAATTCCATTGATAGCCCAATTTATGATAATTGACGATTCCATTAATAGCCCAATTTACGATAATTGACAATTCCATTGATAGCCCAATATACGATAATTGACAATTCCATTGATAGCCCAATATACGATAATTGACTTATTCCATGAATAGCCCAATATATGATAATTGACTGACTCTTCCATTTATAGGCCAATATATGATAATTGACTATTCCATTGATAGCCCAATATATGATAATTGACTATTCCATAAGTTGAAGATGCACTTAAGAAAGTCAGATTTAGATTAGCCTATATGAGAACAAGCAATTATCATAGTATTGCAAGCAATCCGCAAGTCCCCTACCAGTTAGAATCCCAGCAACACTCTGAAGGGACATTGGCCATTCAATTACTCCATGTAAAGAATGAATAACATGAATGAACTTAAGGTAGTACACCCCTAATGCACTATCTCCACTTTGAAGAGTATTCAAATGGGCTAGAATCACTGTAAAGTGTATTGAAACTGAGGGGCGTGGGTTAGAACACCAGAAGGGGCAACTTTTTTTCTTCTTTTTTTTTCTTTTTAACATTATTTATTAATCTCCCATATCCCTAATGGAAGAAAAAAGTGTTTCATTTGAATAATATAATTTTTGTAGGTATTTTTTTACTCAATAATGCCAAATTTAATAGCAAATATGTAATACCAGATATTTTCAAAGGTTCATAAATTAAAAACTACAAGGTAAAAGTATTTTATATTTTGCCAGACCGACCAATATACATTTAAGAAATTTTGGCAAACTTTGAAAACAGCCCCTCATTGTGGAAAATTTTAGGAATATTTTAAATAAGGCTTTTACATAGGGAAATGGTGAAATAAGTGTTAAAAGTGGGTGGGGTTAAGGGTTACATTTTCATACAGATAAAAAACATTTCGTTTCATTTTGCTCGTTTAATTTGTTACCTAAATGTCATTATTTGTTTCTTTACAATGAGCAATAGGAAAACATTTTTCATAATGTTGATATTATAGATTATTTAGAGTTTCCTCATTTCGAAAAAAAACCTTCTAATGGCAAAGTTTAAGTTAAGAAAAATGTCCATAAACCACACGGTAAATTTTGTTTAAATTTTGCATACAGGTGACATTTAAGGCATATAACTGTCCTATGTTGTCAATTTTACAGTTCCTTATAGTGACCATTAGGGGTGTTCTACCTTAAATCAAATGATTTCTCAGTTTGTCTGTATCACGTATGTAACGGAGACACAGGCAAAATTTTCGTTTTTTCGCTTTGAATTTTTCATTCATTATCCTGTAAATGTCCTCAATATAAATACATTAGGTAGTCAGAGGAACAAAACTTTTCTCTTTATAAAGAATAAAATAGTAGTTTCCTAACTGGACCCACGTGGGTCAGATTAGAGTGTTAAGATTTTACGTTAAAGCATTAAAGTTTCACAATAGTTGTCACCGTGAATTCTGGAAACATTAAAGATCATACCAAATAGATGACTTGTATCATAGTTTGGAGACCTTTCTGTTGAAAATGTGTCAGGGTTTAAAATCGTATACATATACATGCACAGTGCGTTAACTGGAGTGCGGGTATCAGTTACCCGCAATCCAGAGCATGCCCATTGATTGGCTCATTTTTGCTGGGGTTTACATATTATGACGGCAGAGAAATGGAAAGCAACAGAAATATCATATTATGATGTTCGTTCATTGGTTCATTTTTGCCGGGATTTCATATTGTGACAACAGGGAACATGTTTTTATGTTTGACTTTGATACAAAAGAGAAAGAACACCGAAACACTCAGTAATCTGATAAATACTCGGGGGCTACGCCCCCTCGTATAAATCAGATAACCTCGTGTTTCGGTGCTCTTTCTATTACTTAGAATTGTGCCAATCATACAATATCCACAATTCTGTTATTGTATCCACCAGGGTTTGTTCAAGTCAAACAACTTGTTTTATAATTAAACAGTGATTCTGTCTTAATTTCGTTCAACACATATAGATGTATTTACGCTTTAAAGCTAAAATATATAGAATTTATATAGAAATTTGTACTGGGACTTTAAAAATGTAATTTTTAGTGTGATTTGAGTACTTAAAATCATTTAAATATTTTTGAAATTAATTTGTCTGAGAATCCCTTTAAGTTACTTTACTATTTAAAGTATCAAAGAAGAAAATTAAAGAAAAGTTCAAAATGAAAACAAATCATGGAAACCCATGGCTTATAAATCTGATCACAAATGAAGAAGGTGTTGGTAATGAATGTCTATATCAAATTGGTAGTAAATCCATGAAGAAATAAGAAATGTTAAACAACAAACATATGCCCCCCTTTACTCACATTATTGGTAATTTTGTTACATAAACTTGCCATGAATGGGTACATGGAAGACCAAGTGTTCAATTATGTAAAAAAGAAAAATATTGAAGACTTTGTGATAAATAGTTATCAAGATAATGAGACATTTAAGGCCCCTGTGACCTTGACCTTTGAACTAGTGACCCAAAACCAAAAGGGGTCATCTAATTGTTATGACCAATCAGTATTAGAAATATTAGATAATAAGCTTTGACCTAGTGACCCTAAAATCAATAGGGGTCATGTACTAGTTATGACCAATCACTATGTGAAATATGTAAACTTTGTGATGAATACTTTGCTAGATAATCAGCTGATACCTTTCAGACATTTAAGGCCCTGTGATCTTGACCTTTGACCTAGTGACCCTCAAATCAGTAGGGGTCATTTACTAGTTATGACCAATCAATATATGAAATATGAAGACTTTGTGATAAATAGTTGTCAAGATGATAGTGGAAACCATATGACCATTCAAGCCCCTGTGACCTTGACCTTCTATCTAGTTACCCAAAAATCAATAGGGGTCATCTACTAGTTATGAACAATCACTATGTGAAATATGAAGACTTTGCAATGAATTGTAACAAAGATAATGAGCAGAAACAATTCTGACATTTGAGGCCCCTAAGACCTTGACATAATAACCCCAATATCAATAGGAGTCATCTACTGGTTATGACCAATCAATATGTGAAATATGAAGACTTTGTGATGAATACTTTTCAAGATAATCAGCACACACCTTTCTGAAATTTAAGGTCCCAGTGCCCTTGACCCCAAAAGCAATAGGGGTCATTCACTAGTTATGACCAATCAGTATGTGCAAACTCTGTGATAAATAGTTTTCATGAAAATCAGCGGAAACAATGTGGTATACCGACAGACAGATCGAAAGACAGACCGACATTCAAGCAAAACAATATACCCCACCTTGGAAGGGTGGCATAAAAAGAAAGTTAAAGAATGACCTTCAAGGTAGCGACCCAAATGTTGAGGGCGACACGTCGTCTCAATATGGTGATCATTTCTGTGAAATAGTTGTAAAATCCGACTTCAAATAACCAAGTTATGGGCTAGACACAATTTTGCTAAAAGGTCATGCTGTAACCTTGACCTTCAAGGTAGCGACCCAAATGTTGCGCACGACATGTCGTCTCAGTATGGTGATCATTTTTGTAAAATATTTGTAAAGTCCGACTTCAAATAAAAAAGTTATGGGCCAGACATGATTTTTATTCAAGGTCATGCTGTGACCTTGACCTTCAAGGTAGCGACCCAAATGTTATGTGCGACACATTGTCTCAATATGGTGAACATTTCTGTGACACGAATTCGAGACGTACATACGTACACACATACGTACTGACAGAAAACTCAGTGACTTTATGCTCCCCCGAAATATTTCGGAGAGCATAAATTTAATAACTGATTATTTCTGCATTTTTTCCTGCAATTTCTGCATTGTAGTCCTCATCATCTGGTATGAACTACAGGTTTATAAAGTATTTTATAGAATCATACCTGTTGCAACAAGTGCGTGGAAAGTCGAAACCCTCTTCCTACAGGTGTATTCGCTGCACAACCCGTGGTCCTGGGGCCCATTAATTAGATCAATGTATCCATCACCTAAAATGGCAACTGGTGAGAGTCGTCGAGTTTCTGTATCTGAGTCCATGCTTTCTATCACAAGCATCTCGTAATTCATATCGTCAAAACATTCGTATGCTTGCCAGTTAGATACATATTTGCAATTTTCACTACGGATAATACCTGGAAAAAATACAAATTGTAGCAGAATTTATAATAAGTACAAGACTTCCATATTGGTTATGTATGACAAAGAAAAGATTCCCTATTACGAAATAGTTGCAAAACTATGAAGAAATGCTATAACACTTCTAGTATCAAACTCATATGACTGTATTTATTTTTGTCTTTATAACAACATTAGGACAGAATAAAATAAAAGAAAAGTAATATTTAAAACAGAATGCATCATATTGTATTAAGCCTTGTACATTTGACATATAAAGCTACCAATAAAATGCATTTGGTAAGAAAACACAGACAAAATTAACAATATTTAATGATATTTACGGTGTCTATTCTAGGAGGGGGCATCGGGGGATTCACCCATATTTTTGAGAACTCCCCCCTATTTTTTCAGAGGCAGGGTGAAAATTTTAAATAAAGAGAAAGAAGAAAAAGATCAACAAATGTAATAAATTCTGACTTCTCAATAAAAAATCCCCCTTGCTTTTGGAATCCTAGAATAGACACTGTATTTAACAGTATTGACAGAAGTCCAAAGGGATAATGATGATGTACATGCTTTTGTTCTTTATAATACTTTAAATGCTTTTAAAATAATACATAGTCACCTTTATATGGAGCAATATCATTATATGGAATTCTGGTACCATCAACAGTGGTCACCATTTCTTTTGGTATCCTATAATCGCCAAGACCTCGTCTCGGATCACCACCCCATTCATATTCTGACTGCGGGATGACTGTTCCAACATGGCCCAAGAATGTTCCATCCAAATCCTTATACATAGCCTTCTTTAAAGCATCACAGTCCATGTCGACACAATCGGCAGAATTAATCTTTCTGAAATGTTTATGTTTGAAAATTGCGAAGAACTCAAATATCTTGTCATTTTTTTAAAAAGAATTCTGCTGAAATTCTTAAGGATCATTAACAATATGCCTTATATGTATGTGACAGATCTATACTGTTTTCTTTACTATAATACAACACAAAAAAATGAATCGTAAATTGGTTGTGTATTATAATGTTGCAGTATATCAATTTCATGTTTTTACTTACCCTACATTTGGTCTGTGATAAATGATTTTGTGGCTACTGTCCACATCTATCAAAGTTGTCCTTTCTGATGTCATTGGGTGTTGTAAATCATCGTTTGCCTCATTTGTTGTCACAGCATAGTTATTTTTACAAGCAGTCTGTCCATACTTCGCAAAGGTGACATCAGAAATAGTGGTCAAACCACCGATTGCGTTGTAACTCATTAGGCCCTTAAATGGTTTTAGAGGAGCTTTATTTGACTCTGAAATATAGTTTGGAAAAACAAGCCCAACCATGTCACCATTGGGAGGAGAACTTGGACGAGAGTTTGCAGATAGCACTGTATTGTTGTCAGGTGACGGTAACCTATCATTTGCACAATCAAACGATGATGTCTGTCCAACAAATGTTGTTTTTTTTATTTCAACACGTTTATCGGCATAAACATGACTTAAAATAGCTGGACCGTTGACAATCGCTAATAAACCATTGGAATTTTCAATCAATAAATTATTTTCACTGACAAAATTAACTTTTGATTGATAATAGATACCAAAGTCATGATTTTTCCATGCAATAAACCCGCTTAATTTGGCACAATCTGCAGGGACTGGGTCATCTGGAAGCACGACAGCTCCGAGTATGTTTGCATACATTCTATTATTCCTGTGGTTCCCTGTATTGTCATCACATTCTAGTGGTGCTATATGGTAAGCAATTCTTTCTGATGCCGTAACAAGATTGTCCTGAAGAATAAGCCGCTTTGCTGACATTGCCTCAATACCAGCCTCCCATCGTGGATAAAATTCCTCAAAACGGTCCTGGTAACTGTTTGTAGCTACCATCAAAGATACTAGATTATGCTTAAGGACTGTGTCATCAGAGCTTGTGACAATACCTGAAATATGCAAATATATACGTATATTTTGTAGCATATTTCTTTGCATGTACATGAAAATGTAAATACTGACTTATTGCAAAAAAAGTTTGTAAAATAACTGTCACCAGTTTACAAAATACAAAACAAAATCCTCGAGCAGAATTATTTTCGTGAACATTTCTACCATGTTACAGGTAAATAGACATGTATATATCATTTCCTACAAATGTTTGGTAAGTTACAAACCATTCCTTTTTGAAAATAATAATTCTATTTCCTGGACTAGACATTACAATTGAAACAAAAATAACATTTATTTTTTTCACCTTTACATATTTAACAATTGAATCAAGAGTCATACCATTTCCAATTGATCCGAACACAACGTTGTCCATAATGTTTAGACTACTGGTCCCGAAGGCTCCTATGGCGGTGTTGAACCCATTGTGGAAGGAGCATTTTGTAACAATAGACGGTCTGATGTCACTAACTGTCCCCACTGCCACAAACGCAACTGAAAACCTAGGGTCATACTCGTCAGTATAACCTTCTTGTCCAGTGTGATAAAACTCCACATTAGACAATCTTGCATATCCTGAAACAAGAAGTATTAAAGGGAAGGGCAATAACTCTAAATGTACTAAATAAATCCAGACAAAAATATCTGGTGCATAACTGCACATGCTGATCAATATTCCCTTTAAGTTACAAGACTCTATGTCAAATACAATTGGAGTTACGTGCGACACATGTTGAAAATTGCAAAAATTTTACTACGTCAAGGGCAATAACTCTGAAAATACTAAAACTATCCAGACAAAAATACCCAGGTGCACAACAACACATGCTGATAAACATTCCTGTAAAGTTTCATGACTCTAGGTCAAATACTTTTTGAGTTACACATGTTGAAAATTGCAAAATTTTACTAAGTCAAGGGCAATACCTCTGAAAATACTAAGTATATCCAGACGAAAATACCCAGGTGCACAACTACACATGCTGATCAACATTCTTGTAAAGTTTAATGACTCTAGGTCAAATACTTTTTGAGTTACACGCGACACAAGTTGAAAATTGCAAAATTTTACTGTCAAGGGCAATAACTCTGAAAATACAAAAAATATCCAGACAAAAATACCCAGGTTCACAACAACACATGCTGATAAACATTCCTGTTAAGTTTCATGACTCTAGGTCAAATACTTTTTGAGTTACATGCGACACAAGTTGAAAATTGCAAAATTTTACTAAGTCAAGGGCAATAACTCTGAAAATACTAAAAATATCCAGACGAAAATACCCAGGTGCACAACTACACATGCTGATCAACATTCCTGTAAAGTTTCATGACTCTAGGTCAAATACTTTCGAGTTACGTGCGACACAAAAGTGAAAGGAAGGAAGGAGAAACGGACGCCTGGCCGAAATGGAATAAGGGGCCATTTCTTTTGTTATTTTCTATTGTTTAATAGAGGGCCATTGGCCCCTTACTCTATTGTAACGGAATGAACTCTATTGTTCTCTTTTGTTCTGTTTACAGTTAGATGGCCCCCTATTCTTATTCAGTAGTGCGGAAGGACTGACGGACGGACGGACGGATGGACAAGGGTAAATCTAAATGCCCGCCACTAATGTGGGGGGACAAAAATACTTTGAAATAAATTGAAAATCGTATTTTATCCTTTTCTTAGCCCGATTTGAGTAAAAAGCGTTTAAACGCTTTTCATTTTGGGTCATTTTTTACCATTTGAATAATTATTCTGGAAAAACAAAGTCCGCAAATGATAAGATAAGTGGTCTAAACCTACATCAAATTGAATGTTTATCTGGAAAAAATATTTTCAGTCCCATCATGTCATAAAACTTCAGTGGAGTCCCTTTAAGAATGGAACGATACGATAACAACACTTGTGAAATGATATGGTATTTTATCAATACCATTATACTCAATACTATTTAAGTGTTTGAGCCAGCCATGATGTTGACATCAGTCACAACTTGTATATTATAAAATTCGGGTATTTTCATGCAAATTGCAGAAATGTTTTATAGCATGTAATTATAATTTTTAAGCCTGATCATCACAAAGTGATCAACAAATGAATTTATGCAGCATGTTATTTAGTAAAGGTTTTCGTTATTTCTCTTGGTAGTGATCTCCCTTAACCTGGATTTCAAACATATAGGACCATAGCCATTTTGCATTCTTTTTGTGATATTATTGTTTTATTGTACATTTTTCGTTTTCCTTTGTATTTTTGTACATATTCTTTGCTTTTAATTTTGAAAGTAAGGTTAAATATACTGGTACTCTTTGAAACGGTATTAAGCAGAAAAATTATGAAAGTTCAAGTACTGGTTATCAGTATCCAACCCTATCCAATCCAGCATATCGTTTGTAATGGCATGCTCAATCTTCAATTTCCTGTTTTCACGGCAACAAGGGGACATCTCAAAATTGCCAAAAATCACTATTTTGCGTTGATTTTTATCATCAAAACTAATTTCAGTGCTGCAACTTCTCAATAAATTGAGATAGAGGCAAAGGCTTTTCAGCGTTTGTAACATGTTATGTTTTAAATTGATCTGAGGCAATTTTTAGTCTCTGGCAAGTTCAAAATCGTCTTTGCGATGAGGGAGGCTGTTTTCTCCCTTCAAACTCCTCTTTAATCAGAAGGAGGCGCAACCCCTCTCTGGCAGCCCCCTATATATCCTGTGATAGAGGGTGGCACAGAAAAAGTGATCACTTTTTTAACAAAATTTATCAAGGAAAACATGTGTTTTGGGTCAGAATAGGGCACTTTTTCACTATTTTTAGTTCAAAAAGTTGGGGGAGGGGGGTTAAAATGAGTTACGAGTTTAAAGAGTGAAAAGAAACTTCAAAAAGAGTTATTATTTGCTTTCAAAGTAAGTTTTAGAGTACAAGCAGATTTTAAAGAAACAAAGTAACGAAGCATTTTATTACCTGTGTGTGTTTTTCCTCCTTTGACAAGACCAACTAAGACTCGAGCCCCATATGATTCTGTGTACAGTTTGTCATAATCTTCACCAATGATTTTAATATTATGTGATAGAAGACCAACAGCAGCTCCCATTGATATAACCAAACCATTGGCAAGGGTTTCCTTATGAGCTATAAAGTTGACAAAATAAACAACAAAAGGTCCATGATGGCTGTGAAATCGCTCACCTGAATATAATATGTAAAATCTTAATCTAAAACTGAAATCACAAAGTTCATATTTGTATCTGAAATAGTGCATGTGTAAAAACATTAAAGGTTGCAATTGCTGAAAACAAGTTCTAAAATATGTGTAAATGTAAGGAAAATCAATGAAACCTTGGGACAGGGCCAAGTTTGACACTAGGTAAACTTGGAAAAACTCACTAGAAGATGTTTCATGGTAATTATCTAAGCTATAGCTCTTTGGGTTTATTAACAGATTTTTAAATTTTTTTTTTACTATATGCATTATTATTTTAAAATATAAGAAAAATCAATAACCACCTTGGGTGGGGCCAATTTTGACCTTAGGGCTTTTATTTGAACAAACTTGGTAGACACTTATAAGGAGATTTTTCTTGCTTAATAAGTGGGGCATTTATAAAGTATTAATCAGTATGAATTTTTACCGTTTATTTGAGCGTAATTGGTCCATATTTTTCATGTATGGAAATGTAAGACTTGTCTTATACAATTATATGCACGAGGAAACCGCGAAATACCAACGCAGTGAGTGAAATTTTTTAACTTGAATCGACTACAGTCAGGTACACTGCAGTTGAAAATGGCAGAAAAAGAGAACAATTTTCAAGACAAGCAAAGTGGTAATTGTAAAATTTGCGCATTGCTTGGTGTACCTTGCTGCACCTGATATTAAATCAGACTAAGACAATATTAATGGGGATAGTGCCCTATCTTATTCCAGAGTTAGAAGATGGGTTCCACTTTTGATCTCCGGTAGAGAGACTACAAAAGATGAGGCCAGTCACAACAATGACCGACGAAAATTTTGCTGCTGTTAAAACTAGAAATGTGTCATCATGACACGGATGCCCCCGCATGCAGCCAAAATTTCAGATGGTGGTGCATTAACTATTTTTTTCATTTTAAGTTCAAAGCCCTTAAAACTTTTCAATGTTAACACAAACCGAAACTGAAATTATTCAGTCTTAACCTTTTAAAAATAGCATATTGCATATTTGTAGCCAAAATTATAAATGGCTAAAGTATGAGGGCTGAAACTGAAAGTTCAAAATTTTTCCAACATTCAGGAAAGATAAGTTTGTCTAAAATCATTGAACCACGACCAAATTCAAACATAAACTGCCTATTCCTAAGATGTATCTATATTATTTTCAAAGTGAAAGGGACATAACTCTGCCAAAAAATCATCAAACCATGACAAAATTCCAACTTGACCTGCCCATTCCTTTGACATATCCATATGTCAAATTTAAGTTGAATAATTATGTAACACTGTTGGGTAGATAATGAACAGAAACTGTAAATTTAATATTATTTTCAAAGTGGAAGGGGCATTACTCTGCCAAAAATCATTGAACCACGACCAAATTCGAACTTGGCCTGGGCATTCTAAAAACATATCCATATGTCAGATTTGAGTTGAATGTGTTGTACCATTGGGGAGATAATAAACAGAAACTGAAAATTTCATATTACTTTCAAAGTGAAAGGAGCATAACTCTGCCAAAAATCATTAAACCATGACCAAATTTGAACTTGACCTGCCCATTCCTTTGACGCATCCATATGACAAGTTTGAGTTGAATGTGTTGTACCTTTGGGGAGATAATGAACGGAAACTGAAAATTTCATATTGTTTTCAAAGTAAAAGGGGTATAACTCTGCCAAAAATCATCGAACCTTGACCAAATTCAAACTTGACCTGTATTTTCTCATGACATATCCATATGTCAAGTTTGAGTTGAATGTGTTTTACTGTTGGGGATATAATGAACGGAAACTGAAAATTTCATATTATTTTCAAAGTAAAAGGGGCATAACTCTGCCAAAAATCATTGAACCATGACCAAATTCGAACTTGACCTGTATTTTTTAATGACATATCCATATGTCAAGGCTGAAATGAATGTGTTGTACCGTTAAGGAGATAATGAACGGAAACTGAAATTTCATATTATTTTCAAAGTAAAAGGGGCATAACTCTGCCAAAAATCATCGAACCATGACCAAATTCGAACTTGACCTGTATTTTCTCATGACATATCCATATGTCAAATTTGAGTTGAATGTGTGCAACCGTTCTTAAGATAATGAACGGAAACTGATGATGACGGAATGACGGACGGAACAGGGTAACACTATATGCCCCGGCCATTACATGGCGGGGGCATAAAAACCCAATTTAATTCATTGATTCTTGCTTTATAATAACATTTCCCTATTCTTTCTTGATTTAAACTCATCCACCAGAGCGTTTAAGTCATCGTCAGAGAAGTCTCTAACTATGTTACTCATGGTGTAAATATGCATTAATGCATCAAGACTTTTCTGACTCATACTGGTCCTTAAGATTGTACATGTGTCATTCATGACAGAAAACCCTCTCTCAACAACAGCAGTTGATTGAGGAATGAGCAGAGTTTGTGCATTCTTGGAAAACATCCCTTGATCTATTGGTATCTGAAGGTGTATCTGATACTTTACTTGATTCTCTTATGTTTTTCTTTTGAAAAAAGCCGTGATATCTTTGGTATTTTTGCAGTCGGACAATTTAATTTTTTTTGTGTAATGTGTCCAGTTATGCGACATTTTGAACTTTGCCGTAAAGCGCCGGTATACAAAAACATATATGTTGTAAAAATTTAGTTACAGTTCTACTAATGAAAACGATGTTAAGTACTCGAAATTATTAGTTAAACTTCGTACAATATATAGTGACCTACCTTTGTAGCGGTAAAATAACTCTTCAATTTCCACCGTAAATATTATTTTACATCTAAAGATAGATTTTCAGTTTTTTACTAGAGTTAAGGTCATCTATTTTTAGCTTTTGAAAAAGTACAGCGTCATGTTTCGCGAGACAATGAAATGTTAACAACTATTATGCATACCCCTCTAGGGTATAATACAGTATATTGCGTCATGCCTAGCGAGTCAATGAAATTCTATACGATCAATGTGCACACCCCTCTAAGCGGATATTAATAGGTCACGGTTTATTTTTACATACGGGGATTTCATGTTTTCAACGCTGTTCGGAAGAAATCTTGAATATTTTCCTTTTTTTCTGTTAATTCAGGTCTTAATTCTGCAGGGAATTTTCAAGCAATTGGGGAATTTTTAGGACCAAATTGGGGAAAAAAAGAGGCTAGTTTGGTTGGGGAAGTAGCCGATATTCGGCGTCTTTAAAGAAGGGTTTTTTGGCCCTGGGAGCGTGTGCGAATTGTGTCACAGGTGCTCGATAGGTACAAAAATGCTGACCAAAACAGTATGAACAAGAGCACCGCTAGGCAGAGCAATAATTTATATGCCCTAAAGTGTTTTTTTTTAGTAAGGATGAAGCATTTGTAAGACATGGGAATTAGCTGTTCATCCTATAAAATTTTACAGATGTAGGTTGATTAATACTTAAGTTATTAATAATGACCTTAACCTTTGACCTTGTGACCCTAAAATCAATAGGGGTCTTCTACCTTATATGGACAATCATCCTAAGAAGTTTGAACATTGTGGGCCAAATGGAACTTTAGTTATGCTCCGGAAACTGTTTTCGGTGACCTTGACCTTGTGACCCCAAAATCAATAGGGGTCTTCAACCTAATATGGACAATCATCCTATGAAGTTTGAACATTGTGGGTCAAATGGAACTTAAGTTATGCTACAGAAACTGTTTTCAGTATCAAGGTAAAAGTGACCTTGACCTTTGACCTTTTGACCCCAAAATCAATAGGGGTCTTCTACCCAATATGAACAATCATCCTATGAAGTTTGAGCATTGTGGGTCAAATGGAACTTAAGTTATGCTCCGGAAACTGTTTTCAGTATCAAGGTATTAGTGACCTTGACCTTTGAAGTTTTGACCCCAAAATCAATAAGGGTCTTCTACCCAATATGGACAATCATCCTATGAAGTTTGAACATTGAGGGCCAAATGGAACTTAAGTTATGCTCTGGAAACCAAATTGCTAATGGACGAATTGCTAACGGGCGGAAACTGTTTTCAGTATCAAGGGAAATAGTGACTTTGACCTTTTGACCCCAAAATCAATTTGGGTCTTATACCCAATATGGACAATCATCCTATGAAGTTTTAAAATTGTGGGTCAAATGGAACACAAGTTATGCTCCAGAAACTGTTTTCAGTTTTAAGGTAATAGTGACCTTGACCTTTAACCTTTTGACCCCAAAATCAATAGGGGTCTTCTACCCAATATGGACAATCATCCTATGAAATTTGAACATTGTGGGCCATATGGAACTTAAGTTATGCTCCGGAAACCAAATTGCTAACAGACAAATTGCTAACGGACGGAAACTGTTTTCAGTATCAAGGGAAATAGTGACTTTGACCTTTGACCTTTTGACCCCAAAATCAATAGGGGTCTTCTACCCAATATGGACAATCATCCTATGAAATTTGAACATTGTGGGTCAAATGGAATCTAAGTTATGCTTCGGAAACTGTTTTCAGTTTGAAGGTAATAGTGACCTTGACCTTTGACCTTTTGACCCCAAAATCAATAGAGGTCTTCTACCCAATATGGACAATCATCCTATGAAGTTTGAACATTGTGGACCAAATGGAACTTACATTTTGCTCCGGAAACCAAATTGCTAACAGAGAAATTGCTAACGGACGGAAACTGTTTTCAGTTTTAAGGTAATAGTGACCTTGACCTTTGACCCAAAATCAATAGGGATCTTCTACCCAAAATGGACAATCATCCTATGAAGTTTGAACATTGTGGGTCAAATGGAACTTAAATTATGCTCCGGAAACCAAATTGCTAACAGACAGACGGACGGACGGACACCAGGGGGTATAACATAATATGCCCTTTCGGGCAAATAATAAAATTGTGACTGGTGATGAAATATGGGTCTATTTATATGAGCCTGATGGTAAAGAAAAAAATAAGGTTTGGGTCGGTGAAAATGACAAACGGCCCAAAATTGCCCGTAGAGCTCGCATCTCAAACCACATTATGTATGCATTATTTTTTGATTGCCAGGGAATGGCAGCTCAAATTCCTATACCAGAAGGCAGGAGTGTTACCAGAATCTTTTAGCGAGATTCAGTTCTTACTGCTGTTGTTAGTCACTACATGTATACTACAGCCCGTCCCCGTACCGGCGTATGCAGAATCAAACTCCTGCATGACAACGCACCTGCCCACAAGTCAGTGGTGGTAAAGTAGTATTTTAGCGACAATAGAAAATAGAGATTTGAAAATCCTTTGCTATTTCAGTTTTAGTTGTACTCCCTTTCTCAATTTTTCATAAAATATCATATTTTGCTTCTTAACTTGCTTTTCATTTCCTTTCTATGAATAAGGAATTTTTTCTTCCTTTTATATTGAATATCTCCTATTATATTTTAAGGGTGCCTTTTACTAATGAAATATGTAGATTTCTTTTCATTTCAATCAAGCATACTTTGTAGATTTCTATGGATTATATTTGCAAGCATGCGTGATTATGTTGAAAACCGATTTTAAATGATCGTAGTTATTTTACTTGAGCAAAACTTTTAAAGAAAAGAAATAATAGAATAAAAGGAATAACCGTTTTATCTTTGTGACAAGAACTCATGCTAAAAATATTCTAAATAGAAAACTATAACATACTTCAACAAATTCTTTTTCATAGATATATTGAACTACATACAACAATAAACGGTACAGTTTTAATCCATGCCAATGAAAATGAAAGTTGAAAGTTTGGGATATATTTACGAATAGCCGATATTTTGGAGTTCGTTATAAAAGTGTAATTTTCTGCACTTTTATTTAATTGGGACTAAGAAATGAGTTCCTTATAAGTGATAATTTCTTATAACCATGTTAGCTATAACCGTTTATTTTTATATTAAATAAAGAAAGGCAAAATTCGGGCCAAAATAAATTGTTCCTTATAATCAAAAGTTCGCTATAACCGTGTTCGCTATAAGTGAAGTTTACAGTATAAAGAAAATAAATGACAGGCCATGGCGCGGGTAATTTTAACCCCAGGACTTTCATTTAAACAAACTTGGCAGTCACCCGTGAGAAGATATTTCATGCCAAATATCTAAGCTTAAGCTATTTGTTTGTTTTTTTAAATAGAAGATTTTTTTTATTTTTGCTATGTACATATAAGGAAAAACAATGACCAACCCATGGGGCAGGGCCAATTTTGACCCAAGAGCTTTTGTTTGAACAAACTTGGTAGACACTTCCTAGAATATGTAAGCTCTACCCCTGTTTTTTAAGGACGATATTTTACGCTTTTTCTTTCAATTGCCATAGGAATTAAATTGTTTAAAAAAATTTTATAGGTGACCACCGAAGAAAAATTCCTGTGAAGCCTGGAAGAAGTTGACCTAGCGGTTTATGAGATGTTGTTTAAGTAAGTTAACAGACAACCGGACAGACGCTGGACAAACAGCGATCACAAAAGCTCACCCTGTCACAAATTTAATAGCGAGTTCTGTATAAAATATAAATTTACCGTGCAATTTAATTTTATTTTTATTTTTAACATCATTATCATATTTTATATATTACACACACAAATGCAAAACCAAAACTACGTGTTCAAGATATTTTGATTTAAAATCACTTTAACATTATGTTTAAGCTATGACACTAACAATTACAAATGGATTGCTTGATACAACATAATTTTAATACAAACAAATTATGCCATGAATACTTACTAGTACAACATGTTCAATGTAATTTATTTGTAAAAAGTTAGGAAGTAATTATAGTTATAATACTAACTTAGATAATAGATAAAACAATCAAATAAAATACGTACCTATATGTTTGTATTTCAAAGTCTCGTTTAAAGTCAAAGTTACAGTGTCTGAGGCAATGGCAGTGATTTTAAAAGATTCAGTCTGCCAGGCATTAAAGCTGGTGGAACCGACAACGATTTCATCATCAACTGACCACTGTACTTGTTCTTTTAATGTAATTGTATTAGAGCCAGCATTAACAGTAGCTGCAAGTTCAGTCCAAGTTGTTCCTACATCTTTCCCGAACAGATCCAGTCCTCCAAACACCCCTAGAAGTACACATGATTGTTCTAGATACACAGGTTATAGCAAACAGATTCTTGATTTTTTCATTGCAGTTGAAAATGAACAAACAGGAAAAAAAAGGTTTTGATAAAATTACAAATTCAATAATTACCTAAATGGTTTAAGTTTCTCACACAAACATTTTTACAATGTTTAACATGCTAGTTACTTTGATTTTGGTGAAAGTTTTATATGAAAATATATTCTTCTGGTTTAGGCAAGTAAATAATTAAGTACTCAAAGTAAAGAATATTGTATAAAATCCTTTAATACTTTTTTCCCTAAATATCTAAAACAACTAGAACTGCCGCTATCATGGCGTGAATACCCCCGCATACCACTTTGTCAGAATCAACAGTGGCCATTTAGAGCTCAAGGACAACCTCCCTGCCAAATCTGAGGTTACTAAGCCAGTGCATTGCTAAGTTATGTATTCTACATGCTTCAAATGTGAAAATGTCAAAATCAATACATTGCGGACAGGACATTCTTTAGCAATTGAGAATAAAAGCTTTTGAAAAGGTCCCTGTCACCTTGACCTTTGACCCAGTGACCTCAAAATCAATAGTGGTCACCTTATAGTCATGATCAACATCCATGCCAAATATGAAGACTGTGGGTCAAAGGAATCTTAAGTTAATGGGTATACAAACTTTTTGAAGTCAAAGTCCCTATGACCTTGACCTTCGATCCAGTGACCTCAAAATCAAAAGGGGTCATCTACTAATCATGATCAACATCCATGCCAAATATGAAGACTGTGGGTCAAAGGAATCTAAAGTTATTGGGCAGACAAACTGTTTGAAGTCAAAAGTCCCTGTGACCTTGACCTTTGACCTGGTGACCTCATAATCAACAAGATATGTTTGTAAAACATGTATGCCCCCTATCAGCAGCCAATTAGTCATGTGATAAGGTTATTATAATGACTTCTGACCCAGTGATCAAACAATTAATAAGGGTTATCAAGTATCTACTGGTCATGACCTTAACCTTTGACCCCTTGACCCAAAACTCAATAGGGGTCATCTGCTGGTCACGACCAATCATCATACAAAGTTTGAAGTTCCTAAGCCTAAGCGTTTTTAATTAATTGATCGGAAACCGTTTTTACCTTCAAGGTCAATGTGACCTTGACCTTTGACCCCTTGACTCCAAAATCAATAGGTCATTTGCTGGTCATGACCAATCACCATGCCAAGTTTGAAGTTCCTAGGCCTAAGCATTCTTAAGTTATTGATCAGAAACCGTTTTTACTTAAAAGGTCAATGTGACCTTGACCCCTTGACCCAAAACTCAATAGGGGTCATCTGCTGGTCACGACCAATCATCATACAAAGTTTGAAGTTCCTACCCCTAAGCATTTTTAGTTAATTGATCGGAAACCGTTTTTACCTACAAGGTCAATGTGACCTTGACCTTTGACCCCTTGACCCCAAAATCAATAGGTCATCTTCTGGTCGTGACCAATCACCATACCAAGTTCGAAGTTCCTAGGCCTCAGGGTTCTTAAGTTATTGATTGGAAAGCATTTTTACCTACAAGGTCAATGTGACCTTGCCCTTTGACCCCTTAACCCCAAAATCAATAGGGGTCATCTGCTAGTCATGACCAATCACCATACCAAGTTTGAAGTTCCTAGGCCCAAGGGTTCTTTAGTTATTGATCGGAAACCGTTTTTACCTAAGAGGTCAATGTGACCTTGACCTTTGACCCCAAAATCAATAGGGGTCATCTACTGATCATGACCAATCACCATATCAAATTTGAAATCCCTAGGCCTAAGGGTTCTTTCGTTATTGATCGGAAACAGTTTTTACCTACAAGATCAATGTGACCTTGACCTTTGACCCCTTAACCCCAAAATCAATAGGGGTCATCTGCTGGTCATGACCAATCACCATACCAAGTTTGAAGTTCCTATGCCTTAGGGTTCTTTCGTGATTGATCAGAAACCGTTTTTACCCAAGAGGTCAATGTGACCTTGACCTTTGACCCCTTGACCCCAAAAGCAATGGGGGTCATCTACTGATCATGATCAATCACCATACCAAGTTTGAAGTTCCTATGCCTTAAAGTTCTTTAGTTATTGATCGGAAACCGTTTTTGCTTACAAGGTCAATGTGACCTTGACCTTTGACCCCTTGACCCCAAAATCAATAGGGGTCATCTACTGATCATGACCAATCACCATACCAAGTTTGAAGTTCCTAGGCCTTCAAGTTCTTTAGTTATTGATCGGAAACCGTTTTTGCTTACAAGGTCAATGTGACCTTGACCTTTGACCCCTTGACCCCAAAATCAATAGGGGTCATCTACTGATCATGACCAATCACCATACCAAGTTTGAAGTTCCTAGGCCTTAAGGTTCTTTAGTTATTGATCGGAAACCGTTTTTGCTTACAAGGTCAATGTGACCTTGACCTTTGACCCCTTGACCCCAAAATCAATAGGGGTCATCTACTGATCATGACCAATCACCATACCAAGTTTGAAGCTCCTAGGCCTTAAGGTTCTTTAATATTTGATCGGAAACCGTTTTTGCTTACAAGGTCAATGTGACCTTGACCTTTGACCCTTTGACCCCAAAATCAATAGGGGTCATCTACTGGTCATGACCAATCACCATACCAAGTTTGAAGTTCCTATGCCTTAAGGTTCTTTAGTTATTGATCGGAAACTGTTTTTGCTTACAAGGTCAATGTGACCTTGACCTTTGACCCTTTGACCCCAAAATCAATAGGGGTCATCTACTGATCATGGCCAATCACCATACCAAGTTTGAAGTTCCTAGGCCTAAGGGTTCTTTAGTTATCTCTCGGAAACCATTTGGTCTGTGGACCGACGGACCGACAGGTGCAAAGCAATATATCCCCTTTTCTTCGAAATGGGGGCATAATAAGGGTCATCTACTGCTCATGACTAACCTCCATTCCAAATATGAAGACTGTGGGTAAAAGGAATCTTAAGATATTGGGCAGACAAGCTTATTGAAGTCAAGGCCCCTGTGACCTTGACCTTTGACCTCAAAATCAATAAGGGTCATCTACAAATCATGACTAACCTCCATGCCAAATATGAAGACTGTGGGTCAAAGGAATCTTAAGTGATAGGGCGGACAAGCTTTTTGAAGTCAAAGCCCCTGTTACCTTGACCTTTGACCTGGTGACCTCAAAGTCAAAAGGGGTCATCCACTATTCATGACTAACCTCCATGCCAAATATGAAAACTGTGGGTCAAAGGAATCTTAAGTTATTGGGCGGACAAGCTTTTTGAAGTCAAGGCCCCTGTGACCTTGACCTTTGACTTTGTGACCTCAAAGTCAATAGGGGTCATCTACTTGTCATGACTAGCCTCCATGCCAAATATGAAGACTGTGGGTCAAAGGAATCTTAAATTATTGGGCGGACAAGCTTTTTGAAGTCAATGCCCCTGTGACCTTGACCTTTGACCTGGTGGCCTCAGAATCAATAGGGGTCATCTACTAATCATGACTAGCTTCCATGCCAAATATGAAGACTATGGGTCAAAGGAATCTTAAGTTATTGGGCGGACAAGCTTTTTGAAGTAAAGGCCCCTGTGACCTTGACCTTTGACCTGGTGACCTCAAAAACAATACGGGTCATCTACTAATCATGACTTACCTCCATGCCAAATATGAAGACTGTGGGTCAAAGGAATCTTAAGTTATTGGGCGGACAAGCTTTTTGAAGTCAAGGCCCCTGTGACCTTCACCTTTGACCTGATGACCTCAAAGTCAATAGGGGTCATCTACTTATCATGACTAACCTCCATTCCAAATATGAAGACTGTGGGTCAAAAGAATCTTAAGTTATTGGGCGGACAAGCTTTTTGAAGTCAAGGCGCCTGTGACCTTGACCTTTGACCTGTTGACCTCAGAATCAATAGGGGTCATCTACTAATCATGACTAACCTCCATGCCAAATATGAAGACTATGGGTCAAAGGAATCTTAAGTTATTGGGTGGACAAGCTTTTTGAAGTCAAGGCCCCTGTTACCTTGACCTTTGACCTGGTGACCTCAGAATCAATAGGGGTCATTAACTAATCATGACTTACCTCCATGCCAAATATGAAGACTGTGGGTCAAAGGAATCTTAAGTTATTTGGCAGACAAGCTTTTTTGAAGTCAAGGCCCCTGTGACCTTGACCTTTGACCTCAAAATCAATAGGGGTCATCTACTATTCATGACTAGCCTCCATGCCAAATATGACGACTGTAGGTCAAAGGAATCTTAAGTTATTGGGCGGACAAGCTTTTTGAACTCAAGGCCCCTGTGACCTTCACCTTTGACCTAGTGACCTAAAAATCAAAAGGGGTCATCTACTAATCATTGCTAACCGCCATGCCAAATATGAAGACTATGGGTCAAAGGAATCTTAAGTTATTGGGCGGACAAGAAAAAACCGACGGACAGCCGGACGGCTCTCTGGCCGAAATGGAATAAGTGGCCATTTCTTTTGTTATTTTCTCTTGTTTAATAGAGGGCCAATGGCTCCTTACTCTATTGTTACGGAATGAACTCTATTGTTCTCTTTTGTTCTGTTTACAGTAAGATGGCCCCTTAACCCTATTCGGTAGTGCGGACGGACCGACAAGCTGATTCCAGTATACCCCCCTTACAACTTTGTTGTGCGGGGGTATAAAAACAAAACTGTGACTTAAACATTTCCCAAAACTTTAGATGATACAATAAGAAAACAATAGTCGGTTGAACTGGATGATGCTCCCTGATTAGGTTTTGGACACAAAAAGTATACCTCTTGTAGTTTCAGAGTTCTGTCCTGGACAAAGTCCAAAATGCAATAACTCCAAAAAAGGCATGGCAGAGTTATGGTTCTTTTGCACTGCATAATTATCTACCTAATGAGATCTATCTACCAACAAAAGTTCTTGTTGATAATTCTTTTTCAGAGTTATGTCCTGTGAAAGTGAAAAAATGAACAAAGGGCAATAACTCCAAAGATAGACACTGTAAAGTTAGTTTTGTGCACTGCTCATCTACCCAATGAGATCTATTTACCTACAAAGTTTCTTGCTCACATCTCATTTAGTGTCAGAGTTGTGTCCCTGACAAAGTTCAAAGTGTAAAAATGAACAAAAGTTAATAAAAACTCTTAAATTTGGCCAGACAGAGTTACTGTTCTTGTGCACTGCACATCTACCTAGATCTACCTACAAAGTTTTATGTTCATACCTCTTGTTAGTTCAGAGTTTTATCAGGGACTCCTAGACAAGAAAAGCTGAAGGACAACCTGACAGAGTGGCGACTATATGCTCACCCTTTGGGAAGCATAAAAATTGCTTCTTTTTTCCAGGTGTCAAACATCAAACATACATCTAATCCATTATTTAAACATTATGAAACAAAATTAATGTTTAACATTTGTAATGAATGTAAAATTTGGATTTTCTTTCAAGAAAAATTTGAATTTAAAGAAAACTATAGGATAATTATGCTTTTTCTTACCAATTGCCTTTGAACCGAGTGTTGTTTCACCGCCAGTACTATAATAAGGCGATGAATCATTCCCGTGAAGAATGATAGAAGCAATTCCATCAAATGGATCATTTGGCCATCCGACAATTAAACGCCCACATTTTATAACGATGAAATCAGCTTCTATAACATACTGAGCTGATGGATGATCGGCCAATTCTAGAACGCCCTCTATTAACAGTATGCCAATCTTATTAATGGATGTCAAGTTCACCATAACCCAAGTGTCTGTTAAATATAATACAAAAAATACATATTTTACAGAATTAATGTGATCTTTTAAAATTTACATAATTGTCATGAATTTATTTTGAAAGTATTCAAATATAGTACAGTAAGAATTGAGGTATAAACAGTTTGAGTAAGAAGTAAGGAAATATGAGGGGTGTTCAAATATGAATGCTACTAGGCCAATATCTCACTTTTAACCATGTTTTGCATGAACTATGCATATGTATCGCATAGATGGTTGTGTAAGCTCTCAATTGATACCATACATGTGTTAATTAGTTCAGTCTAGCTTTGACAATACATTGTAGCTCCATAAACACTATCTACTGGTGTATACTAAAGCTAAAATAGTTCAGAAAAAGGTCTCCTTTTACAGACCAAATATGGTCCTGTATCAAGAATCAATGTATTCTTGGTATATGGGCAAAAGACATATTTAACGAAATATTTTGTGTTCATGGGAACAATAAACTTTCTTTTTTCATCTGTTGCACGTTGGTTTAAGAAATTTAAAAGTGGTGTGGATTCAGTAAAAGGTACACCTCATGCACTGCACGCTGTCCGAAAAGTGCAACTTTGCCAAAAATGGTTGAAAAAGTAAAGAATTTGATTGCTACTGATACAAGATTTACAACTACATTTTTTTGTAGGTATAAAGCTAAATGCATTGATATCTCTGTAGGAGCCGCTCATACAAATTCTCAAATGTGATTTAAAAGTAAGCAGGATACTAAGTGCCAGATAGATACCCAATCTCCTTACAAAAGAGCAAAAACTAGCTCTCAACAATTGAAAACAAGACCCCGGTTTGAGACACAGGAAAGTACACCTCTGTAGTTTCAGAGTTATGTCCTTGGAAAAAGTTCAAAGTGCATTAATTCCACAATTAGGCAAGACAGAGTTACTGTTCTTTGCACTGCACTTCTAATCACTGTGATCTATCAACCTACAAAGTTTTTGTTGATATCTCTTATGGTTTCTGAGTTATGTTCCGAACAACTTCAAAAAGTAAAAATAAACAAAGGGCAATTACTCCAGAATTAGGCAAGGTAGAGTTATGATTCCTGTGCACTGCACATCTACCCATTAAGATATATCTACCTACAAAGTTTCATGTTAATATCTCTTATAGTTTTACAGCTATGTCCAGTACAAGATTTTTCTAAAGGGGAAATAATTAAAAAATAAGGCTTAACAGAGTTATGGTTCTTTGCACTGCACTTTTACTAAATGAAATATTTCTACCTACAATGTTTCATCTTGATATCTCTTATAGTTTTAGAGTTATGTTCCTGACAAAGTTCAAAGTGTTGAAATTAACAAAGGGCAATAACTCCAAAATTAGGACAAAAAGAGTTATTATTTTTATGCACTGCAAATCTACCCATTGAGATCTATTCACCTACAAAGTTTCATATTGATATCTCTTATAATTTTAGAGTTATGCCCCAGACAAGAATTTTCTATAAGAGGAGATAATTCAAAAACCGGGCAAAATAGAGTTATGGTTCTTTGACACTGCACTCCCCCTCAATGCCCTCTACCACTGTATGAAGTTTAAACAAATTAAATTATCTCTAAGGGTTTTCAAGTTATGCTCCGGACAAGACAAACGGACGGACAGACGAACGTACCAACTTTTGATATTTAAGAGGCAATTCAGCTCATAAACTACACCTGGACGTAAGTCCATAAGCAAAATTAGCTCATAAAAACAAAAAAATAGCTCTTAATTTGAATTAGTTTTTGTTCTTTATTTAACTATGGAATGAAGCTCATAAATATCAAATGTTTGCTCGGACAGACGAAGGACAGACGGACAAGGCGCTAACTATATGCTCCCCCGAAATTTTTCGGGGAGCATAGAAAAGATCTATAAATACAACAATCAATCACTCTCAAATATCATTAATAATGATGAGTTGTGGGTTCACTTTTATAAGCCCAAACATAAAATACATAACAAAATATGGGTAACAAAAGTAAGTCAAATTGGGTCTTCTACCCAATAAGGGCAAACATTTATGAAGTTTGAATACTGTGGGCCAAATGGAACTTAAGTTATGCTCCGGAAACCAAATTGCTAACGGACGGATGGACGGACGGACGCCAGGGGGTATAACATAATATGCCCGAAATTCTTTTAAGGCATATAAAAAGGAAAAGTCTTTCATGAATTAAAGAAATATTTCAAAAACCGTCAACAAGCAACTGGTCTCTATGGTGTCAGGTTGATGCACAACAAAATGCTTCGTCACACAAAGCCGGCATTGTACTAGTATATCTGAACAAGACCACCGCTAGGCAAAGCATTATATGCCCGTAAGTATTTTTTCTTTTAGAAGGATGAAGCATTTGTAAGACATGGGAATTAAATACAGTATTACCTCCTTCAAAAAGCAATCCTTCTTTATAGCTGAAGAACCTTCATGTATATATACAGTTGCTGTTTTCAAAGCACCGCCATCAAGTTGTTATCTTGTGGGGTATAAAGCTGTTAATCCTATAAAATTTTAGAGCTGTAGGTTGATTAATACTTGAGTTATTGAGCAAAAAACTGTTTTAAGCTAATAGTGACCTTGACCTTTGACCTTGTGATCCCAATATCAAAAGGGGTCTTCTACCTAATATGGGCAATCATCATATGAAGTTTGAAAACTGTAGGCCAGATAGAACTTTAGATATGCTCCGGAAACCAAATTGCTAATGGATGGATGGATGGACAGACAAGCGGACGCCAGGGGGTTTAACATAATATGCCCGAAATATTAAGTGGCAGAGGTTGTCAAGCTTCCTCACTTTCCTTTTTTGCCAGATCTTGCCCCTTGTGACTTTTTCCTATTTCCGAATCTCAAAAAAACACCTTACTAATGGGAAAACAATCTCGATTTGGCTATTTTCCAGTGTCTGAACAGTACAGTATACCTTGGAAAAATTATGAAAATGTGTTTAAAAATTGTATTTTAAGACTAAAATTTTGCATTTAGAACATGGTGGTGAGTATTTTGAAGGATTGAAATAATTATTTTGGCACTGTTTGTTAAACACTTCTGAAAATTGTCCCAGTTGTAAAAGCATTCATATTTGAACACCTGTCATACTTAAGGCCATTTTTCCATATCTTTCGGTTTACTAATTTTTTCCCAAAAAGGTAGAGTGAAAGGCGAAAAAAAAAAAAGAAACAAGAGGGCCAAGATGGCCCTAGATCTCTCACTTAACCCATTGAACTCATCTAAGCAATTACCTAGACAAGCATTCTGACCAAGTTTCATGACAGGTGAGTCAAAAATGTGACCACAAGTGTTAACAAGGATTTTCTATATTGGAGCAGTGTGACCTAGTTTTTGACCCCAGGCAACCCATTTTCAAACTTGACCTACAAATCATCAAAATAAACTTTCAGGTTTTTTCATATCTGGGTGGTGTGACCTAGTTTTTGACCCCAGATGACCCATATTAAACTTAACCTAGAAATCATCAAAACATTGCCGTCAAAAATTATTGTTTCTTTGACAAGTCTAGTAAAGTTGCATTCTATAAATGCCAAATATTTCATTTATATCATAATCTAATAAGCAGCGTATTTCAAAAACAGATTTTTTTCCGGGCAGATATTTTTGTTCACCCCCCCCCCCCAAAATATAACAATGCCGCAGGTCAGTAAATCCGAAAAATAAAAAAAATTGGACTAACAGCAGAATATTTTCAATTAGAACTCTTTATAATATACATAACTAGAAATTGTTACTTCATATACACGCCTTTTAACGCCTTTATCACCCCCCCCCTTTTTAGTGTCTCAAATGATGAAAAAATGCCTTATTTCGGCCCCAAACACTTTTTTTGCTTGTGAAATGTTGTTAAAAAAGTGACCTCTTTTTCGGCGCGGCCCCCCAACCAAAAGATACATCAAGGGGTTGCCAGAAGGGGGATGTGCCACCTTCTGTTTGGGGGGTTTGAAGGGGGCCGAGTCCGCCTCATCGCCAAGAAAATTTTGGACTTGTGAGAGGCTGTAAATGACCCCAGATTGATCATAAGGTAACGTGTAACCAACGCTGAAAAGCATTTGACTCTATCTCAATCCATTGAAAAGTTGCAGCACTTTGAAATCAATTTTGATGGAAAAATCAACGCAAAATAGTGATTTTTGGCAATTTTGAGATGTCCCCTCGTTGCCATGGTAACAGAAAATTTAAGCCTGAGCATGTTGTTGCAAGGGCAATGGTCCAGTCAACATTTGTGCCAAGTTTGATTAGTGTTGAAGCAGTTTTTATAGTATTATAGCAATTTGAACTTGTAACGGGAGACTTTTCAATGAAAACAGCCATTTTTCACAAAATGCTCATGAAGTAATGGGTTAAGTGCCGAATACCTCTGACACAAGCTTGTCAATAAATATGCATTTTAATTAATAATTTTGCATATAGGGAGAATGAACTAGTTTATAGATTTTTTTTTTCAAATGATTTCTTCACTATTTGTCCTACATCAATAAGATAATTTAATGTTTGGATTTTTCATGACTTCTTTTAAGGGCCAATCCTTCTTTCTGCCCTTTGCTTGGCGAGATATATCTACCTACACAGTTTAAAGTTGATACTTTTTATAGTTCTCAAGTAATGTACTGGACAAAGTTGAAAGTGTAAAAATGAACAAAGGGCAATAACTCCAAAGTAAGGGAAGGCAGAGTTACTGTTCTTTTGCACTGTATTCTACGCAATGAAATCTATCTACCTAGTTTTAATTTGATACCTTTTATAGTTTCAAATTGATTTCTTTGTACATTATGACAACGGACAAACCAACCAACTGACAGACCAAATGACCACCAGCTGACCCCAGCATACCCTCTTAAACTTTGTTTGTCAGGGGTATAAAAAGGCAGTAACTCTTATATCATTAAACAAAACAAATGTAACAAAGCAGGTTTGCCGTTCATTTAAAGCTTTTTTAAGGTTTTCCCAAATATATTTATCAAAACACTTACGTATAAGTATCCGGACATTGTCGTAATCCTGCGGTACTTGTGTTCCAGTAACAACATCATTTGTTACATAACCATCTTCTTTTAGTTCCCATATTAACTCCTCATGCCAATAATCGTAATTCAGGGGTCTGGTAGGTGCCGGAGGTACCGTACACGGGTCCGGTGGAGTTACACAGTTGTCATATTGACATTTGTAAAAGTGAAAATAATACACATTGTCTACAACAGATTTTTGGGTACGATGTCTTCCACTCACTAAGAAAAATAAAGATTAAGTGATTAAGTCAAAAGCATAACCAATTGGCCAGTTTTTGTTATAATGTCACATTCTTTTTCAAAAGATATTATTTCTGAGAAAATGACATGATTAAAATCAAATGTACATAGGCATACAGAATACTTAATTTGTTTATATAACATCCTCATTTTAGCATATACTGATTATGACGGTTAACAAGAAATGTTTCCACAAGACATGCATGTCATTACACTCCATAATTTTATCAGCATAATAACGTAGAGTATGACAGTATGACAGAGGGACAAAGGAAATTTTACATGACTTCTTTTACCAATAACTGGTTTGGGCATAAAAAATATATCAAATTTTTCAATTAATGACACTGCGAGTTTTCCAAATATTAAAAATTTCAAAGCTCAATTTTATAGCATAAGGTATGCTTTTTTAAAAAAACTAGAATTTATAGCATAAGGTATGCTTTTTAAAAAAAACTAGAACTGTCACTGTCATGGCATGAATACCGCCGCATACCACCCTGTCAGAATAAACAATGGCCTTTTAGAGCTCAGGGACAACCTCCCTGCCAAAACTGAGGTTACTAGGCCAGTGTATCGCTAAGATATGTATTCTAAATGCTTCAAATGTGAAAATGTTAAAATCAATACACTGTGGACAGTATTCTTAAGCATTTGAGCAGACAAGCAATTATAGTAAAACTCCCTGTGACCTTGACCTTAGACACAATCACCTAATATCAATAGGGATCAGGGATCATCTACTAATAATAAACAACCTCAATTCCAAAATGAAGACTGTTGACCAAAGCATTCTTAATCAATTGAGCTGAAAAGTTTTTTTAGTCAAGGCCTCTCCCAGTGACTTTCACCTTTGACCCAGTCACCTCAACAAGAGTCACCTAATGGTCATGATCAACCTACATGCCAGATATGAAGGCTGTTGGTCAAAGGTTTATTAATATATTGGGCAGACAATCTATTTGAAGTCCCTGTGTCCTTCACCTGGTGACCTCAAAATTAATAAAGGTAATCTACTAATAATGACTAACCTCCATGCAAAATTAGAAGATTGTTGGTCAAAGGAATCTTTAAGTTATTGGACGGAGAAGCTTTTTTAGTAAAGGCCCCTGTGACCTTGACCTTTGACCCAGTGACCTCAAAATCAAAAGGGGTAATCTTCTAATCATGACTAAACTCCATGCCAAATATGAAGATTGTAGATCAAAGGAACTGAAAGTTATTGGGTGGACAAGCTTTTTTAGTCAAGACCCCTGTGACCTTGACCTTTGACCCAATTACCTTAAAATCGATAGGGATTATCTACTAGTCAAGGCTAATTTCCATGCCAAATATGAAGATTGTAGATCAAAGGAACTGAAAGTTATTGGGTGGACAAGCTTTTTTAGTCAAGACCCCTGTGACCTTGACCTTTGACCCAATTACCTTAAAATCGATAGGGATCATCTACTAATCATGGCTAATTTCCATGCCAAATATGAAGACTGTGGGTCAAAGGAGTCTCAAGTTATTAGGTGGACAAGATTTTGTTTAGTCTAGGCCCCTGTGACCTTGACCTTTGACCCAGTGACCTAATAATCAATAGGGATCATCTACTAGTCATGACCAATCTAAATACCAAATATGAAGCCTGTGGGTCAAAGGAATCTTAATTTATTGGCGAACAAGGAAAAACCATGGACGGGGAGACGGACAAACTGATTCCAGTATACCCCCCCCCCCCCTTACAACTTCATTATGCGGGGGGGGGGTAAAATAAAAACAAACAAAACACCAGATGCACAAATACACATGCTGGGAAAGTTTCATGACATTTAGTCACATACAAGTTGAAAATTGCAGATCAGTCAAGGCCAAAAATCTTCACAGGCTGACCAACATTCCTGTAAAGTTTATGACTAAAGGTCAAACACTGACAAAAGTTAAACAAGCAAATTCCTTGAATTTATATCCCACATCAAGCTATTACAAACAACAACTGGAGACATTAGGCTTTATTCATATATTTCTCATGGCATAAACAGGAATATTCTTTATACAAGATAAAAATTCAGGGCAATAACAGAGGCCATAACACTGTGTTAAATACTATTATCTAGACATGCCAATGATATGCAAATTATCATTTTGTATTGATGGTTCCTATAAAGTTTTGTTGAAATCAATCCAGCAGTTGCAAAGAAATAGGGATATTGCTCTTTATTCATACCACATAACTAATCAAGCACCGTCTGTGGCCGGGTGGTTAGAGACGTTGACTTCAAACCACTTGTCCCTCACTGCTGTGGGTTCAATTCAAACAGGGACTTTGGATTCTTACATGTGTGTTAGCTATCCAACTAGCTTACGGAATGTCCGTGGTTCTACTCAGGAGCCCATGGTTCCCATAAAGTTCCGTTGAATTCCTGCTAGTAGAACTTCAGAAGTAGTGTGGATCTGATTATTGCGCTATATGCATAACCAAGAGCCATAACTATGTGTTGAAGGGCCTGACTGGAACAAAGTGACAATATATATGCGCATGCACAGGCATCAAACAATATTTTCAAAGTCACTCGTCCTGCAGGGCAAGTAGGTTCTAAATCCAGTGTGCAGGCAACATTTTTCTTCTTGTCCTGCATCAAGTTCTCTTAAATTCTACTCTTAACTACAAGCAGATTGGTATTCTATTGATTTTGATAGTTCCCATAAAGTTTTATTGAGCTCCTGCAAGTAGTTGCAGAGAAGGAGCCTGAAAATGATTATTGCTCTATATACATAATCAAGGACCAAAGCTTTGTGTTGAAGAATCTGACCAAAACAAGGTGATGATATGCGCATCTTCTCTTGATATTTATAGCTGCTATAAAGTTTTGTTGAATTCTAGTCATTGGTTTTTGAGAACTAGCCCAGAAACAAAACTGGGACAGACAGATGGAAGGACAATGTCAAAATAATACCAGATTCTCCAGATTCCATAGGCTAGGGATAAAAGCGCAAACTTAAACAAGATATGTTTGTAAAACATGTATGCCCCCTATCAGCAGCCAATTATTCATGTGATAAGGTAATTATGCATGACTTCTGACCCAGTGATCAAACAATTAATAAGGGTTATCAAGTATCTACTGGTCATGACCTTGACCTTTGACCCCTTGACCCAAAACTCAATAGGGGTCATCTGCTGGTCAAGACAAATCATCATACAAAGTTTGAAGTTCCTAGGCCTAAGCGTTTTTACTTAATTGATTAGAAACCGTTTTTACTTACAAGGTCAATGTGACCTTGACCTTTGACCCCTTGACCCCAAAATCAATAGGGGTCATTTGCTGGTCATGACTAATCACCATGCCAAGTTTGAAGTTCCTAGGCCTAAGGGTTCTTTTATTATTGATCAGAAACCGTTTTAACATACAAGGTCAATGTGACCTTGACCTTTGACCCAAAATCAATAGGGGTCATCTGCTGATCATGACCAAATCACTATGCCAAGTTTGAAGTTCCTAGGCCGAAGTGTTCTTTAGTTATTGATCAGAAAACCGTTTTTACTTACTAGGTCAATGTGACCTGACCTTTGACCCCTTGATCCCAAATCGAAAGAGGTAATCTGCTGGTCATGAAAAAATCACCATACCAAGTTTGAAGTTCCTAGGCCTAAGCGTTCTTAAGTTATTGATCAGAAACCGTTTTTACTTACAAGGTCGATGTGACCTTGACCTTTGACCCCTTGACCCAAAACTCAATAGGGGTCATCTGCTGGTCACCACCAATCATCATACAAAGTTTGAAGTTCCTAGGCCTAAGCGTTTTTAGTTAATTGATCGGAAACCGTTTTTACCTACAAGGTCAATGTTACATGACCTTTGACCCCTTGACCCTAAAAAAAATAGGTCATCTGCTGGTCATGACCAATCACCATACCAAGTTTGAAGTTCCTAGGCCTAAGGGTTCTTTAGTTATTGATAGGAAACTGCTTTTACCTAAGAGGTCAATGTGACCTTGACCTTTGACCCCTTGACCCAAAATCAATAGGGGTCATCTACTGATCATGACCAATCACCATACCAAGTTTGAAGTTCCTAGGCCTAAGGGTTCTTTAGTTATTGATCCGAAACTGTTTTTTACCTAAGAGGTCAATGTGACCTTGACCTTTGACCCCTTGACCCCAAAAATCAATAGGGGTCATCTACTGATCATGACCAATCACCATATCAAGTTTGTAGTCCCTAGGCCTAAGGGTTCTTTCGTTATTGATCGGAAACCGTTTTTACCTACAAGGTCAATGTGACCTTGACCTTTGACCCCTTAACTCAAAAATCAATAGGGGTCATCTACTGATCATGACCAATCACCATATCAAGTTTGAAGTCCCTAGGCCTAAGGGTTCTTTCGTTATTGATCGGAAACCGTTTTTACCTACAAGGTCAATGTGACCTTGACCTTTGACCACTTAACCCCAAAATCAATAGGGGTCATCTGCTGGTCATAACCAATCACCATACCAAGTTTGAAGTTCCTAGGCCTAACGGTTCTTTTGTTATTGATCGGAAACCGTTTTTACCCAAGAGGTCAATGTGACCTTGACCTTTGACCCCTTGACCCCAAAATCGTTAGGGGTCATCTACTGATCATGACCAATCACCATACCAAGTTTGAAGTTCCTAAGCCTTAAGGTTCTTTACTTATTGATCGGAAACCGTTTTTGCTTACAAGGTCAATGTGACCTTGACCTTTGACCCCTTGACCCCAAAATCAATAGGGGTCATCTACTGATCATGACAAATCACCATACCAAGATTGAAGTTCCTAGGCCTTAAGGTTCTTTAGTTATTGATCGGAAACCGTTTTTGCTTACAAGGTCAATGTGACCTTGACCTTTGACCCCTTGACCCCAAAATCAATAGGGTTCATCTACTTGTCATGACCAATCACCATACCAAGTTTGAAGTTCCTAGGCCTAAGGGTTCTTAAGTTATTGATCGGAAAGCATTTTTACTACAAGGTCAATGTGACCTTTCCCTTTGACCCTTAACCCCAAAATCAGTAGGGGTCATCTGCTGGTCATGACCAATCACCATACCAAGTTTGAAGTTCCTAGGCCTAAGGGTTCTTTAGTTATTGATCGGAAACTGCTTTTACCTAAGAGGTCAATGTGACCTTGACCTTTGACCCCTTGACCCCAAAATCAATAGGGGTCATCTACTGATCATGACCAATCACCATACCAAGTTTGAAGTTCCTAGGCCTAAGGGTTCTTTAGTTATTGATCCGAAACTGTTTTTACCTAAGAGGTCAATGTGACCTTGACCTTTGACCCTTGACCCCAAAATCAATAGGGGTCATCTGCTGGTCATAACCAATCACCATACCAAGTTTGAAGTCCTAGGCCTAAGGGTTCTTTCGTTATTGATCGGAAACCGTTTTTACCTACAAGGTCAATGTGACCTTGACCTTTGACCCCTTGACCCCAAAATCGTTAGGGGTCATCTACTGATCATGACCAATCACCATACCAAGTTTGAAGTTCCTAGGCCTTAAGGTTCTTTACTTATTGATCGGAAACCGTTTTTGCTTACAAGGTCAATGTGACCTTGACCTTTGACCCCTTGACCCCAAAATCAATAGGGTTCATCTACTTGTCATGACCAATCACCATACCAAGTTTGAAGTTCCTAGGCCTAAGGGTTCTTTAGTTATCACTCGGAAACCATTTGGTCTACGGACCGACGGACCGACAAGTGCAAAGCAATATACCCCCTTTTTTTCAAAAGGGGGCATAATAAAGTCAATGGCAATAACTCTAATGTTATTGAATAAATCCACACTCAAAACATCAGGTGCACTGCTTTATAGCTGATCAACATTTCATTTCAGATTATTGATGCCAGCTCAGGCACTTAAGAGGGTACATAAAAGAACATTTTGGAATGGTTTTTACTTATTTAAGGGCAATACTTTTGAGATATGTTGTCATATTTGGCATTTCAAATTTTAAAACTAAGACAAGGGCAATAACTATACAAATACTGAATAAATCTATAATCAAACCCCTAGTTAAAACTGAACGTCTTCACATTTTGACCAACATTTCTGTTTCATGACTATAGGTCAATTCTACTTTTGGCATGCATGACATTAGTTCAAACTTGCAATTTTTCAGTAAGTCAAGGCCAATAGCTCTATAATTACTATATAAACAGTCCAAACTGTATAAACCCCCAGGAGTACATTTTCATATGCTCACCAATATTTCTGTAAAGTTTCATGACTCTATGTCAGATACTTTTTTAGACTACACGCAACACAAGTTGAAACTTGTAAACTTTTATTCAGTCAAGGGCAATAACTCTACCAAAACTGAATAAAAAGTGAAATCTCAGTTGAACCAACACAGTCATGCTCATCAACATTATTATTAAGTTTCACAGCAATTTAAGAGCTTCATGTGATATAACACAAGGGCACCAAAGGAAACATTTGTGAGGGTATAAAATTTTGATAAGGAGAAATGGTGTTTAAATGCCTTATATTTATTAAAAAACTATGCACTCTGCAAATGAAAATCAATGATATAGACATAATAAATTTTTGCAGATACAGCATACATTGCAGTAGCAGTTGCTGTTAATAACAATGTCTTGAAATAAGGTAATTATACTGAAAAGAAGTAAACTTTTTACCAATAAACTTAATTTTGCGATTTGCATTGTCCCATTCCCAGTCACCATCCTTTGCTGCTAATGGATCAATGCCACCAACTGTGGCATCAATAAATGTTTTTCCATGATCAATTGTGAATCTATCTGGGGCTTTTAACACACCCAGTTCAACAAAGATATAGTCCTCAGGCTAGAAGAAAAATGAATAATTCAAAGAACATTATTATATGATCTAAATATATCTGCAATCTCATTGGTCAAAACAGTAGTCAACAAAACTTTTTATAAAATCATATTTACTGGGTGGAGTATCATATTAACTGGCTGAATTGGATTTTCCCAGTCTAAAAATAGATTGAGACTCATATTCAATGATCATACACCGTAGACTGTTAAATACGCGTGTTACTTAAAAAATAATTGTTGCTTTTTGTTCTTTATGGCATATTTCTCGATTAAAATATCAATACATTACCATTTTACTTAAAGGCTACACCGCAATGTTGAGTATAAACTTGAATTACTTTTGTATGCGCAGCGTTCGCGAAGTCGTTGCACGCCTAACACGTGCGTCTTTTTTCCCGCGCTTCAACAAGGCAAAATTTGTACATGTATATAAGGTTGTACTTTTTTGTGATTTTTTTTTTATTTCTTAGTCTATTCATATAATAAAACAATAATTGACTAGTGAGCCATTGAATATGATGTGATATTCACCGTCGGAAAGTCATATTGACCTCGGCTATCGCCTCGGTCAATATGTCATCTGCCGGTGAATATCACATCATATTCAATGGCTCACTAGTCAGTAATTGTATAATAATACACTAAAAAGAGTATTTATGATTATACTTCTTACATAGAAATCTAAAAAAAAAAGAAAAAAGATTAAGTGAAAGTAGATGGGTACATTTCTTTAAAGATAATATACTTTTATCATGGCAAGGGTAAATAGTACCAATGTGTGTTGCATTAAGGTAGACCATGGGTAATGCATTACCTCCACTTTGGAGAGTATTCAAATAGGCTAAAATTGCTTGCAAACTACATTGAAATTGAGGGGTGTGGGTTCAAACCCCAGAAGGGGCAACTTTTTTTTCTTTCTTTTTTTTCATTTTAGCATTATTTATGTATCTCTCTTATCCCTTATGGAAGAAAAAAGGGTTTGATTTAAATAACATAATTTTTGTAGGTATTTATTTTCTAAATAATGCCAAAATTTATAGCAAACATGATACTAGATATTTTTCAAAGTTTAATAAAATAAAAACTACTCGGTAAAAGTATTTTATATTTCCCATGATCAACCAATAATAATACCATTAAGAAAATTTAGGCAAACTTTGAAAACAGCCCCTCATAATGGAAATGGTTAAATTAGTGTTTAAAGTGGGTGGGGTAGGGTTACAGTTTTATACATATTAAAAACATTTCGTTTAGAAACAATCATTTTGCTTGTTTAATTTGTTACCTAAATGTCATTATTTGTTTCTTAACAATGAGCAATAGATAAACATTTTTATAATGATGATATTATAGATTTTTTAGAGTTTCCTTATTTCTGAAAATAAGCCCGTCTAATGGCAAAGTCTTAGTTCAGAAATATATCCATAACTCATAAACCACACGGTAAATTTTATTTAAATTTTGCATACAGGTGACCTTGAAGACATTTAACTGTCATATGTATTAAATTTTACAGTTCCTTATGGTGCCCATTACCCATGGTCTACCTTAACTTTTTAAAAAGTACGAAATAACTTGAAGGTGATTTTTAATATTGAATATCTTACCCCAAAGTTTTCAAAATGACCTTCAAATCTGAGATTGCCAACTTTAGCTCCATTGTTAAAATCAAACTTGTAGGTAGCGCCACTTAAGAGAACACACGACCACCCAAAGTCAGTGGTTACTCTTTTCTCTCGATAGGGCACAGAGCTAATGCCATATTGATTTGCAAATGTAAAATCATCATACTGAAGGTAATTTGGACTCATGAGGTAAAAGGCGAATCTATGCCACTTATATTGTGGTGGGCACATACTTCCAGGTAATCCAAAACTGAACTCTGAAGCTGCCTCACAGTCAGATGGAATAGTTGCAGATGTAGGCAATATCGTCCATTTTCCAGATTTTCCAGTAGTTGTTCCATCTTTATCGAAAATGATACCTTCCCACTCCCAACCATAAGAAGCTTTCTTTGGAGCATTTACATATTTTAGAGACTCAATGTAATAAGTAAATCCCCCACATCCTAAAGTACAAGTAAGGTCTATTTTTGCAAAGCCAAACACATAGCAATTTTCTGCAAAATTAACAAATCTTGTGTTTACTACTCTAAATCCATGACCCATCGGAAATATAATAGCATATACTGTACATCCTTGAAAGTCATTTGGATGGATACTGGTTTTACCAATGATTAAACTATCCTTTACCATGGGAGAATCATCCATATATCTAGGAACTTGAGCAATACTTTTACTTTCATACCCAGCAAGTCTGTTTTGAACAAGGACAAAGTCAACAAATTGCAAAGCACCAGTCCAAGCTGATTCTGCACCTTTATCATTATTCCAAGCAAAGAAACTTTCAAACACAGCTGGTTCTACCAACTTGCCTAAACATCCATCCTGTACCGGATAGTAACTTTCAAAAATCCATAATCCAAACCTGCCAAATGAATGTGCAGAGTTTTTTTTAAAGATACCCAATGGCTGGGTTTTTGGGCACACACTCAAATCATATGATGCACCGATCGGATTTTTATACATTATGTACCAGTAGCCAAAATGGGTTCCCCCTGCTGCAGCATTATGTTGGATTGTATTGTATGGATTTGTAATCCAGTAAGAGGCAGGAGTCACGTCATCATTCAATAAGCTTAAACTTCCAATCACAAAAACAGCTAAGTTATATTGCAAGGTGTTTCCTGTCTCAATACCATCTTCTAAAAAAAATCCCCCTCCCATTATATCATAAATGACAGTTTTTTCTACCAATGTATTGTGCGTGCCATGAATATTAACAGCCCTGTTGAATGTTTTATGAATACTACATCCTCTAACATAGCTTGTTGACATATCACCATTCAAATGGAAATGTATAGGATGGCGTCCTAGTCTAAAAGCTTGTCCAGCAAATGTGACTTCTACATATGAAATGTGAGCTTGTGCCTCATGTGTATCATGTACTGGTGCATGTACAAGGATTGTAGCTCCAAACTGACTACTACCTATCTCGTCACCAAACCTTCCTTGGAAGCAAGTCTGAGTTGCGAACTCACCTGTATAATGAAAAATTATTCATTTGAGTTTTAACCTCATTTTCAAAAAAAAAATTTTTTTTGTTTTTGAGGAGAAGTGGAATAATAATGTCTAAACATTTAGGATCTTATTGATATGAACAATTAAAAAAGTTACAAGTCAAACATTATACCCATGTTAAATCCAGCTGGACAAGCTTTAATTTCGTCTTGCCAGTGAGGATCTTGGTTACCGCGGACAACTACATTATGCGTTAGAAGTCCTACTTCCCCTCTCATTTCTACAAGTGTACCATCAAATGTTTCCTCAACACCTACATGCTCTGATTCAAGAGCCGAGTCAAGAGTCAAAGTTTGTTTGTTTTGGGATATAGCGGTAATTCTCTTCTTTTCATTTTCTTTCTGGCTTTGACGATGACCAGTGGAAGCAATGACTATTTCATCACCAACATTCCACTCGACGGGGTCAACCAGCTCAAGAGTGTTGGAGCCACTTGCAGATGAAGATGCGAGGCGTGTCCAGGTTAGCGGAACCTCTTTACCTTAACAAGCAAAAAAATCATAATATTTATAATAGTTTTGACTATTATGTTTTAAAAAAATGTCTGTTAAAAATGTTATAATGAAAACAGTTATAATCATTGCTCTTTTAAACAAGAACACGTTTGTTAAACTTAAATGCCTCCATCGTAGATTATTGTAAGTAACAATTTTTCAATATAGGTTAACCCATTCACTCAGTAGTGGACAGAAAAATTACTAAAAAAGTTGTAAACACAGTTATATAACTTGGCATAAAAATATTTTATTATTAATAAACAATTGTTTTCAAATAGTTTCATAAAATTTATCAGCATAAAAAACAACCTTGATTTAATTTAGTGCAAGTATTCTTGTGAAAAATATGTAACAAGCATAGTAAAACTGCAATGTATTTCGATTGCTAAAAAATAAACAGTTTATGTACAAACCATGTAAGTCTAAAGTACCGTTCCTTACAGCCAGAACTTTGGTACCATAAACTGGGAGTTCTTTACTTTTGTGGTGCCCATGTAATGTTATAATAGCCTTGTGCTCGAACGGTTTGTCTTTAGTACCTACTCGTAATAGTCCTCCGTCTGTTATCATAATGATGTTTGCCTGCAGTTCTATATTCTTCTCATCAAAAATAAGTTGACCTCCTAATAAGGCATAATAAACAATTCGCCAGACAGATCACAGTTAAAGCAATGGTATCATTTCTTCAAATTATGCAATAATGTTCACCAAAACAAAAGTATTGAAATCAAACATTTACACATGAAAAGAACTGTGACTGTGTTTTATGTACCAACATAGCATGTACCAACATAAAATATGTCATATGTCCACATTGTAGCAAGACCCTAAAGTATCCTTTTGTGCATTATTTCAGGGACAAACGGGTACAGTACGCTCAGCGCGGCTTTTTCAAAACCCGCGTGACCCCGCGGATGAGGTTTACGGCGGATGAAAATTTGCTCAGATATTGTCCGCGTGACCCCGCGGACAGAAACTTTTCACCACCGCGGACATAAATCGGCGGCTGAAACCGTTTCCCCCGTGGAATGCAGTGGTAAATTCCGGAGGAACGCGGCGGTCAAACACCGGTCAACGCGGTGGAAACCTTAAATTTTAAAAATTAATTACTGTATTTAAACATTAGTATACGTACGTACATGTACTGTACATATACATGTAACTATATGTAAAATTTGTTTGTTTTCTTTCTTTTTTGTTGTAATAAAAGTACATGTGCAAATGCAGTGTTTTTCTTGTTCTTCTTCTTGTTATTGTGTTGGGTATGCATATTTCTCATGTCCATTTTCGACGGGGTTTTTACTGTAAAAAACACAAACAAACAAGTCTACCCATTTTTAAAGAATATAATTGCACACAAATAAAATCTTTTTTATAGATGGTTTAAAAATCTTTTTCTTTTATTTCTAATATATGTACATGTATTTTATTTATGTCCTGTCTTGTATTCACACTCATCGACCTTTTACAGGACATGTACTGTTAGCGTCAGTCATCACTGAGAAATCAGCACAAATGTCCTTTTTTTTACTAAGTATCATATTTATGGCTCCCATATAGTTTAACAGCAATAATACTTATAGAACCACAAGGAATGAACAAGTAAAGATGACAGTGATAAATGACGATTTCAGTTGTGATAATATTGGTATGTGGACGAATAGTTTTGTGGACGTTTATAACAAAAATATAAAAAACAACAACAAAAACAGGTACAGCTGTAATTATTTTTATTTCAAATTCCGTTCAAATAATTTAACGTATAATAACATTTAAGGAGACGATTGTGGTCAATTTTCAAGTCATTGTGTAAAAAAGATGACGTTAAAAAATAATAAAACGTCTATTATTTTTTGAGGTTAATTTATACTGACCAACTGACCATGGCGTTGCCCCGCGGGAAACAGGTGACTGATTTTATCGATAAATGAAGAACGGGCGTCAGAATTTTGTCTGAGGTGGAAACAACTGAACACGGGGGATCGCGGGGAAATTAGGCTTCTCATTGCGGACGAACCCCCGGGTTTGTCCGCGATAAAAAAATCGTCCGCGTGGTATCGCGGATAAAGCAAAAACCCGCGGTGAGCGTACTGTACCTTTGTAGAACCATCAATGCTACGTAACCTAGCTTAGAACACCATTCTCACTTAAAAAAAATCCAAAGTCGCTTGCACTGATTCCAAGTTCATTTAGACAAATTCCTTGAATAGGATTTAAATACAATAACGCTATGTTACGTTCATCATTATTTTAATGCTACAATTATCATTTTCTCTTTATTATCAGAATAAAAGAGTTTCTAAAAAGTTTTCATAAAAGTTAAAACTGGAAAATAGCTAACAAAATTCAAGCTACTGTCTAGACATTGATACTACTTTTAATTGCATGAAAAATTATTTAATTAATGAGCTGCGCCTTGACAAAACCAACATAGTGTGTGCGATTAGCATGGATCCAGACTAGCCTGCGCATCCCCCAGTCTGGTCAGGATACATGCTGTTAGCTATTAGTTGCTCTACTTGTAATAGGGTTGGTAAGTGAACAGCATGGATCCTGATCAGACTGTACAGATGCACAGACTGGTCTGGAACCATGCTGGTTGCAAAGGCACTATGTTGGTTTTGTCATTGCATGGCTCATTTCTTAAAATGTCCAGTATTTCAGAAAAATTTAAACAAATATTGACCTTGAATAAACAGGAACGATAGTACAGGTGTATCCATGTCCAGCAGTAATGTCATACCAGCAGATACAATAACAGATTCGCCAGCTTGTGGCAGAGGGCCGCCGCCCCATGTAAATAATGAAGACCATACATCAATATATAGGAAATCAGCATCTCCATTTTGCCTCTGTAAATAATAATGCTATAAGCCGCGTCATGACAAAACCATCATAATGGGTTTGTGACAATCATGGATCCAGACCAGCCTGAGCAGTCTGATCAGGATCCATGCTGTTCGCTACCAGTTTCTCTACTTGTTATAGACTTTGTAAGCGAACAGCATGGATCCTGATCAGACTGCGCAGATGCTGGTCGCAAACCCATTATGTCGGTTTTGTCGTGACGCGGCTCTTATTATTCAGTATCACCTTTCTCCTTTAAAAGTTGAAAGCCACAATGCTTACTGTTTTTTCGTCTATTTTACTGTATTTGTTATCATAAGATATAGCAAGTTTAATAAGTTATCTCCGTCTTTGACAACAATAAAGAAAATTAGTTATATATACCAAGAGAAAAGCAATTCCCTACAAATGAAATGAATAAGCAAACACCTTAAACCAACTGATGCCTTAAGTTTAAAACTAGAACTATCGCTAATATGATTCATACCGCCACCAATGTCCTTGACAGAAGACTACTTGGAAAGATGGTTAAGGGAATAACTTAAGTGGCACATATACTTAAAAAAAAATTATCTCTGGTGAAAAAAAGACTAATTGTCACAGGTAATAGTATAAATATATATCATCAAATCATGTTCGAAATAGTAACAAATAACCTTTCATTTTCCAATTGTACTAAACATTTTAAGTCAATTTTTGACCTTCAAGTGTGGCCTTGACCTTAAGCTGGCACAAGGGTTAGATGGATTCTGCATATCGCCCAGTTGGGGTGAACATTTGAGTAAAGTTTGAAGAAAATCCTTCCATTAGTTTAGAATTTATAGAGCGGACACAACATATTGTCAAGTATTGATTGTATGTAAATCTAAAGACTTAACAAGAGCGATCAGTGATCACATGTGTCGCCTCATGATGGCCAATTTCATGTTGAGACAAAATTTGTGACAGACAGACAGACAGTGCACAACTACACTTGGTACTGATCATGCCTGTAAGTTTGGATAAAATTGCACCAGTAGTTTATGAGGAGTAGTACGGACAAGCTTTTGTGTATCTGGCAACACACAGAAAACAAGCAATTATCATAGTATTGCAAGCAATCCATAAGTCCCCTACCGGTAAGAACCCCATCAACATTCTGAAGGGCCAGTCACTTATGTTTCTAACTTGTTGAAAAAGTTCTTTAAAAGTGATCATTGGAAACAGTTTTTTATGTATGGACAGACACACAGACTGAAGGACACTCTAAAGTTATTTCTTTAAGCATTCCTGTTATCAAAATATAACAATTTTAAAAGCAAAATTCTTAGAAAGGAGATAACTCTTGAAATAAAGAAGCAAGACGTCATACATGATGTGAGTGTAACAAAGAACAATTAGTAATGAAGGTGTTGATAATGAATGTTTTTTTTTTAATTTGAAGTTAAATAAAGTGAAAAGAATGAATGAGAAAATTCAAAGTTTAAAGATGAGATAATTCTGGAAATATGGATGCTAGATTTATAAACCTTGTCATATTATTATGATGTTGGAGTTTGAAGAAAATCCTATAATGATTGAAAAAGTTGGAGTTGAAATTACCAATTTCTCAAAAAAAAGTGTAAGTTCAAAAGGGGCATAATTCTGGAAATAGTCTTGCTAGAGTATTGAACTTTTTCACAAATGTTGAGTGATAATAAGAAACATAGATATGAAGTTTGAAGTAGATACATTCAGAAAAAAAGAAGTTTTAAAAAAAAAAAAAAAACAATATTTTTTCATGAAAATTCTAAGTTCAAGGGAGGAAATTCTGATAAATTTTATGCAAGAGTTGAAAACCTTGTCACATATGATGTAGTTGATGACAAGAAACTTATGTTTAAAGTTTAAAGAAAATATCTTAAGAAATAAAGAACTTATAGTGAAAAAACGTTACAACTAGAATCAGAAATCTTGAAATTCAGTCTATTTGTTGCCAAAAGAACCAGAATTTTCAATATAGGAAGAAAAGAAAAGAATGTGTATAATCTCTAGACTGCTATCTACTCATATTTCAAGTTCCATAAAAATATTTTCAGTACTTTATGTGTTATCAATGGATCCATGTTATGTGTAAAATTTGCCATATTTTCAGTCTATTTGTTGCCATAGCAACCAGAATTTTCAACATTAGGTAGAAAAGAAAATGACGTGCATATTCTCCATACTGCCATCTTTCCATATATCAAGTTTCATGAAAATATTTTCAGTACTTTTTGCGTTATTGCGGGATCCAGTTGTGTGGACGGACGGACAGACGGACAGAGGGTAAACCTAAAGTCCCCTCCGGTAAACCGGTAGTGGACTAACATTCAGAAAAAAGAAGTTTTTTTAAAAAAAAACAATATTTTTTCATGAAAATTCTAAGTTCAAGGGAGATAATTCTAATAAATTTTATGCTAGAGTTGAAAACCTTGTCACATATGATGTAGTTGATGACCAGAAACTTATGTTTAAAGTTTGAAGAAAATATCTTAAGAAATAAAGAACTTATAGTGAAAAAATGTTTAAACTAGAATCAGAAATCTTGAAATTCAGTCTATTTGTTGCCATAGCAACCAGAATTTTCAATAAAGAATGTGCATAATCTCTAGACTGCCATCAACTCATATTTCAAGTTTCATAAAAATATTTTCAGTACTTTATGCCTTATCACTGGATCCAGGTTATGTGTAAAATTTGCCATATTTTCAGTCTATTTGTTGCCATAGCAACCAGAATTTTCAATATAGGAAGAAAAGAAAAGAATGTGCATAATCTGTAGACAGCCATTTACTCATATTTCAAGTTTCATAAAAATATTTTCAGTACTTTTTGCATTATCACTGGATCCAGGTTATGTGTAAAATTTGCCATATTTTCAGTCTATTTGTTGCCATAGCAACCAGAATTTTCAACATAGGAAGAAAAGAAAAAATCGTGCGTAATCTCCATACTGCCATCTTTCCAAATATCAAGTTTCATAAAAATATTTTCAGTACTTTCTGCAATATCGCGGGATCCAGTTTTGTGGACAGACTGACGGACGGATGGACAGACGGACTGACAGACAGACGGACGGAGGGTAAACCTAAAGTTCCCTCCATAACTCGGCCAAAAACCATTCAACCAGAAAACCCTTGCAATATGTGCAAGGACTTGAGCTACAGATCAATCCTGTAATGTTTCAATAAAATTGAATTTTGGGTTACAAGAAAAGTAGTCTGGAAAAAAAATGGAAATTATTAAAGGGCCATAACTCTGACAAAAATCATTGAACCGGAAAATGCTGACAATATGCACAACAAGACTTGATGCTGATCATTCCTGTAAAGTTTGAATGAAATTGCACCAGTAGTTTATGAGGAGTAGTCCGGACAAGCTTTTGTGTATCTGGCAACACAAAGAAACAAGAGCCCGGTTTGAGCTGGGCGATGCTCCCCGAATAGGTTTTGGACACAGGAAAATACACCTTGTAGTCTCAGAGTTATGTCCCTGGAAAAAGTTCAATGTGCAATAATTCCAAAACTAGGCACGGCAGAGTACTTTGCACTGCACTTCTAATCAGTGTGATCTATCAACCTACAAAGTTTCTTGATGATATATCTTATGATTTCCCAGACAACTTCAAAAAGTAAAAATAAACTAAGGGCAATAACTCCAGAATTAGGCAAGGCAGAGTTATGATTCTTGTGCACTGCACATCTACCCATTGAGATGTATCTACCTACAAAGTTTCATGTTGATTTCTCTTATAGTTTTACAGCTTTGTCCTGGACAAGATTTTTCTAAAAGGGGAGATAATTCAAAAATGAGGCTTAACAGAGTTATGGTTCTTTTGCATTGCACATCTACCCATTGAGATCTATTCACCTACAAAGTTTCATCTTGATATCTCTTATAGTTTAAGAGTTTTGTTCTGGAAAAGATTTTTCTATAAGGGTAGATAATTCAAAAATCGGTCAAAACAGAGTTATGACGCTTTGACACTGCACTCCACCTCAATGCCCTCTACCACTGTATGAAGTTTAAACAAAAAATCTCCAAGGGTTTTCAAGTTATGCTCCTGACAAGACAAACGGACGGACAGATGGACAAGGCGCCAACTATATGCTCCCCTGAAATTTTTCGGGGAGCATAAAAAACACCTTTTTATCAAAGGGCCATAACCTGGCCAAAAATCATTGCCAATTTCATGTTTGGACAAGTTTTGTGACAGATGGACAGACAGATGGACAGTGCACAACGAGACTTGGTACCGATCATTCCTGTAAAGTTTGGATAAAATCGCACCAGTAGTTTATGAGGAGTAGTCAGGACAAGCTTTTGTGTATCTGGCAACAAACAGAAAAAAACACCTTTTTATCAAAGGGCCATAACTCGGCCAAAAATCATTCAACTGGAAAACCTGTGCAATTTTCGTAAGGACTTTTGCTACAAATCAATCCTCTAAGGTTTCATTGAAATTGCATTAGTGGAATAAGAGAAGTAGCCCGGACAAACTTTAAAAATAAAAATTATTAAAGGGCCATAACTCTGACAAAAATCATTGAACTCGAAAATGCTGAAAACATGCACAACTAGACTTGGTTCTGATCATTCCTGTAAAGTTTGGATGAAATTGCATCATTAGTTTATCAGGAGTAGTCCGGACAAGCTTTTGTGCAGACAGACAGACGGACAGACAGAAGGACAGAAAGACGACAGACAAGTGATCCCTATATGTCGCCACTACTCTGTAGAGGTGACACAAAAAGGGGCATAACTTTGTCAAATTGCAATACAGAGTTATGAAACTTGACCTGCATATCTTATTTGTGACATCTCATATATCTTAAGTTTCAAGCAAATACCTGTGCTAAGTTTCAGAAATATTTAAGTACATGTACATGTTAAAATTTAAGAACATTTTCAATTTTTGACCTTCATGTGTGACCTTGACCTTTAGCCGGCACGAAGGTGACATGGATTCTGCACATAACCTTGTTGAGGTGAACATTTGAGTAAA